CCTCCCTTTCCTTTGAATAGGAGCTGGCTCAGTCAGAAGAGCATGTGACTCTTGATCTTGGGGTGGTGAGTTTGAGCCCTCCATTGGGTGTAGAGATGACTTAAAAATAAGTAAATCAATGGGGGAGTGTGGAGGATCTTGTGGGGTGACAATAAAGTGCTTTCAGTTGGCCAGGCTGCCTGGGTCAACCCAGGAGGTGAGGTTGAGAGGCGGGTCCATCTTCCTACCTAGGACCTGTCAATGGCTCACTAGGGAACAAAATGAAAACTTCTCAGCCCGGGAGTCAAAATTTTCTTTAGTTCGGCTACAACTTACCTTTTCAGCTTCATCTCCCACTTCTCTGCTCACACAGTCGACGCTTTAACCAAACCAGAGTATAACTGTTTTCCTAACCTCGCTTCCTCGTATTTGTATCTTTCGTGACATCTCCCTGTTTCTGCTATATCCTCGTCCCTAATTTCTACCTTTTGAAATCTGATCTGTCCTTTATGGATCAGTTACAGTTCAAATGCAGCCTTTCCCGATCTTCCCATTTGGGAGTGATCTCAACAGCTCCTATAGCATCTGCTGGTAACTCGCACTCAAAACAGCAGTATCGGCACGATCTCGTGTCACTACTTGAAACACGTCCCCCTTCGTTTTCAAGTGCCAATTCACCCGATTTTCCTCCTACCTCTCAAGCTGCCCTTTCAAAGGTCCTTGCCAAGCGTAGCCTGCTATACTTGGCTGTTTTGAATACCGAAATGCCTCAGTGCTGGACCCTCTTCTTTCCTCATGCCCTTGCCTTGGCCATCTCAGCTTTGGTTCCAGTTACCATGAAATTCCAATTGCCTCTAACTTCTCTGAGCTCCAGGGCCCACCTAGTATCTTCACCTGGATGCTCAGAGGCAACTCAGCTGAGGACATATCTGTGCCAAGCTTGGCCCTCTTCCTGTGGTGTCTCTCTCAAGTGGATGGCACCCCACCGGTTCCACAAGCCAGAAACCTGGGACTCCTCTCTTGAAACCGAGGCCCGAATATTTTGCCTTTTACGCGTGCTTCCGGCTTGTCATTTCTCTCCATGTCCACCACCGCCACTGTCTTATCTCCCACCATGCTCTGCCTGGACTGCAGCAGGAGCTTCCTACTCAACTGCACCCACTCTTGCTGCCTGCCCTCTGGTCTGTTCTCCACACTGCAAATGGAATGGTCTGTTCAAAATGCAAGTATGGTTTTGACATCTCTTTGCCTAAAGCCCATCAGCCGCTTTCCATTGTCTGCATGGATCTGCTCCTGCCTCTCTGTCCAGATTCATCTTATTTTTAAAAAATATTTAATTATTTTATTTATTTGAATAAATAATATTCAAATATTCATGCGCGTCCGGGGGCGGGGGTGTGTGGAGGGAAAAGAAGAGGGGAAGAATCCAAGCAGATTGCGCTGAGCACAGAGCCCCATGTGGGGCTTGACCCCACGACCCCAAGATCACGACCTGAGCTGAAACCAAGAGTCAGATGCTCAACAGACTGAGCCACCCAGGCACCCCCAGACTCATCTTGAACCACTGTCTGGGCTCTGGCTGTACTGGCCTTTCAATTCCTTTAATGGCCCCCAGGGCTTTGCACATGCAACTCCTGCTACTGAGAATGAGCTTTCCCTCCCTAGTTGTTGCTCAGTTAACACCCCCTGACACTCTGTACCTTAGTTCAGCTCTCAGTTTATCAAGGAGGCATTCCTATAACTGTCCTCCCATGCTCTCAGAGCATTTTGTTATTGCGCTCCCTCTAGACATACAGTTGGCCTTTGAACGATGTGGGGGTTTAGGGTAATGACCCCCCACACAGTTGAAAATCCACGTGTAATTTTCGACTCTCCCTAAACTTAATAGCCTACTGTTGACCAGAAGCAGGACCAACAACATAAACGGTCGGCGAACACATATTTTGGGTATGTATTACATTCTATATTCTCACAATAAAGTAGCTAGAGAAAAGGAAATGTTAAGGAACTCCTAAAATACATTTACAGTACTGACCATATTTATGGGGAAAAAAAATCCACATATAAGTGGACCCCCGCAGCTCAAACCCGTGTCCTTCAAGGGTCAACTGGAGTTATAAATTTGTTCTTGTGATTATTTGATTACCCTACTTGTTTCCCTGACTAGCCTCCAGAAGGGTGGGTCTGTTTCTGCTCTCCACTGTGTTCCCAGTGCCTGACAGGACAGACCTCTGATGACCCATGATGCGTGCATGCAACTTTTGAGGGTGAGGAACAGAATGTCTTCATCTTTGAAAATTTTAGTGCTCACACAATGAATGGATGCACAAAATGTGTGTATAACTTAAGAATGCAGTGTAAAAAGAGAAATCATTCATTCATCCCAAAATGCTGACAGGCCTACCTACTGTACCTTCAGGAACGCATTAGAGACTCAGGACAACCACAGTGGGCAAGATGAACTCACTTGAGACAACAGTACGGAACACGCCTCAGCTCTGTGCCCTCAGCTTAGATTTCTGCTATGCTGTCCTCCCCCCTTGGCCATTCCAAGCCTTTGTTCCTTTTTACCTTGGCAGGGTCACCCCTACGCCCCAAGCAAATTTGGTCCATCTGTATAAACCCTAACTCCCGCCCCTCAATGCGTATCATTCTAGTGGCCTAATCTCACGAATCCTTACAATGCTCTGCTGGCCAGTGACCAGCCAACCAAGCTGCGTTCTAGAACTGGGGCCTGGCCACAGGATGCTGGGAAGACCTCTCGGGTGTGAGTACCAGAGCCTCTGGGGCATCTGGTCAAGGCCATGTGCAGGTGGGGGAGTTGAGGGCTGGGGTACACCTGGGAGAGTCGCCCTGCCGGGTGGCACAGCTGCCCCAGGCCAGACCCGGGTCCTGGAAAGCACTTCAAAGCTCAAGGCAGTCCTCTGCCTGGCTTTCTGGACCCCTCAGCTTCACACTTGAGCCCTGGAGTGATCTGTAAGAGACCTGTGACCAGGGTGCCTGGGGGGCTCAGTCGGTTAAGCGTTTGACTTCAGCTCAGGTTACAGTCTCAGGGTCCTGGGTTCAAGCCCTGCATCCAGCTCCCTGCTCAGCCAGGAGTCTGCTTCCTCTGCCTCTGCTCTTCCCCCTGCTTGTGCTGTCTCTCTCAAATAAAATCTTAAAAAAAGAGAGAGCTGTGACCAAGGTCTGTCCATTGTCTCATCAGTGGTTCTTCAGATGCAACAGGCTCACCCTTGCATTCTGCTGCAGGGAGCAGAAAACCCCAGCTGTAGGCAAGCATTCCCCATTTCTGTGTTTATCCAGATCATCTTCCCACTGGGCAGTCCTCTCCTTACTTGATGAGTCATTTGGGTAGTTCTCTCACTTATCATCCTTGGGCCTTCCCCACCCACCTCCCTCCCTCAGATGTCCCCTTGGCTTCACGCACCAGCAGTGCGAGGTTGCAGATAATGCCGCTGGTGAAGTTTCCGTGCAACCAGCCCCGGCCGTTCATCAGCTCCCCCTGCAGATCCTGTGGTAGCTGGGACTGGCTTGTTCTGAATCCCCTTATGACTGGCATCTTCTGTCCCTGAGCAGCAGTTGTCCCATCCAGTTTTAAGGTGACAGGTTCCTTTTGCATCTTGATGGTGGAGAAAGTTGTATCCATAGCCCGAGACGCCAGATTTTATGCACAGACCTGGGCGTCAAGGTAAATGACAATACTGACCATTCTGGCATGTTCTGTTCGATCATTCCCAAGGACAGGAGAGGGTACAGGGGACGGAATGTGACTGAGGAGTGCAAACCAGGTTCTCTATAGCAGCTGTATTCCTTTTTTTTTTTTTTTTTTAAGATTTTATTTATTTGAGAGAGAGAGAGAGAGAGCATGAGCAAGCACAAGAGGGGGCAGGGTCAAAGGGAGAAGCAGACTGCCCCTGAGTAGGGAGCCTGATGTGGGAATCGATCCCGGGACTCTGGGATCATGACCTGAGCTGAAGGCAGTCACTTAACCAACTGAGCCACCCAGGCGCCCCAGCAGCTGTATTCCTCACAAGTATTCCTATCTTTAAGATCTCCTCCCAGAAGTGCAGAGGTTAGGTGGGATTCGGTGAACCCCAGGAGAGAAGTGTAGGCTTTTCACTGGAACCCTGACCCCAAAACTATGTTGGATGGTCAGTTAGCACCACCGTTCTCCATTGCCAGGTTGAAATATTTATTTGAAAAATTGAAAACACAGATGCAATGTATTATACAAAGAAAGGTCTTAATACCATAATAAAAGTATTGTTGGAAGGGAATAAGAGCCTGTCGCTACCTGCCCTGGGAAGGTAGGCACTCAGTGAAAAATGAAATCCATTTCTAAGAACTATTCTAATGGAAAACTGGGGGGGGGGGGGGGGAAGGTTAAAAACAGAACAGAAGAAAAACAAACCCAACCTATCCCTGCAAACCTAAATGTGAGAGTTTGTTATAAGTTATCAGCAAGATTTATCGGAACCCCCTCGGTTTGTCCCTAGGAGTAGTAATCAGCTTCATTTAGGGCCTTCAAACTGAGGTAGTTGAGGGTCACCTGAAAGACATGTCTGGAAATGATCTACTCTCAGAATCGGACCCAATGGCATCTAACCCATGATTTCCCGTTGCTTTGGCTCCTGGGGGCGAGAGGCTGTGCCACCACTTTGGGTTGCTGATCCTGCATTTGGTCTGACCCTGGGAGACGGAGGGGCATCTGCGGTGAAGGCTGGTGGGCCCGCAGGGGTGGCTGTCTAGGCTACAGACAGCGTGGTCTCCGGGGGACCGAGGACGGCGGAGACAGGCCAGAGCCGGTCCGGTTGAAAGGCCAATGCCAGGATCGAAGGCTTTCATTGGCAGGAAGGATTTCCAGACACTTGCAAAGGTGGTAGAAGGTAGCAAGAACTTGACCGGTGGCTAAAGACCAGGGTAAGTGGAGCCGGGAGACCCCTCCAGACTAAGGAGCTGGCCGAGAAGTGAGCATTTCCCAGGTGCAAGCTCAGGACCAGCTCCTCTTCGGCGAGAGGCCGAAGCAAGCCAATCTGAGGATGAACGACATGCATTGTGACCCCCGTGGTACCTGGTTAACCCTGGTGTTGACTTGGCAGCTCAAACACTTCCAACGTTAAGGACATTCTGGGCAATGTTTGGTTCTTCCAGCCACTGGATTAGGGACTTAGATTCAGGTGGGACCCTAGGGATCTTGCTGTCAGCGGCAGAACTAGGCAACAATCTAAATTACAGTCTAATTTAAACTCCTGACTCAGATATAAAAGAACCCCACAAAAGGCAGGTCTTTTCTACCTTTTTTTTTCCTTATTATGTACACATACCCCCTTACTCTAGAGATATTAGAGCAACTGTATAGAAAATTAAATAAGGGATACGCCTGTCTTTCAACCTCTCATCAGTCCTAAGCCATCTTTTGTTGTTCTGCCTTGCTGTGACCCAATTACACTGGCCCATGGGACTTCAGTCACTCAGGATGCTCAGTGACTACTTTAAAAGGCTATGAGGTTCATTTTTAGCCTTAGGATGTCATTCCTGTTTGAATCAAGTATTTCACACCAAGTATAAACACCCTTACTTGAGAAAAGCCAAGGTAGGACAATTTGATTTTGGCTAGAGGATGGGCCAGCTCCTAAGGCAAGCGAGGACAAATACTACGCTACCCCCGACGGATACTTCTTGTGTGACACGGGATTAGCTTGTGTTCCTGTTTAATCTCTTTCTTCACGGTCTTATTACTCAGGCGAAGTCCGCAAAGATTTTAAAAATTACTGTGGCTTCTTTTTAGAGGGAACATTATTCAGAGAATCCCAGTGTGGTCCAATATACTAGATTTTTCTCACCACTGGTAATTCGGAGCACAACAGTTCGGCCGAGATTCTGGAAGTGAGGACTAGTCCGCTGTGGAAATGCTGACCCACTCTGAGACCGCACCGATTGGCTTAATTGGCACAACTGGGCCAGGGGCGCCACGCACCACTCCTTCTGAGCCCCGGATGGAAAAACGCTGAGCACAAAGAAGTGTTAAGCGTAAGACCGCTTATCTTCTGCGGCTGACCCCTCTTTAGCCCAACGTGATCACCTGTCTGAGTCTTGGAATCTGAGCTACTGGGAGAGTGTTTTTTGAGTGCCCTACTTAGAAAATGCACAGAGAGGGAGGGGGAGGGTGGGGGGGGAAGGAGGGCGGTTGATTCACAGTGATCAAACAGGGACCTCGCCACCTATCACATAGCAACACTTAGCAATGCTCCTGTGGGACAGGTCCTGGGAAGTGCTTGTTGGCTTCTACCTAGGAGTTGCTACAGATAAGGAAGGAAGATACCGTTTGTCCAAGATCGGAAGGTCACTTAAATGCTGGGGTCTGTCTGTCTGGAGGTGGACAAGTGCTGTCAGGCTGCCCGCCCCTAGGAAGCCGTTAATGTGCCCTCTGTCCTCATCCTGTCCAGGCAGCAAGGGCCCGGGACGTGTGGCTGGAAGGCTCAGAGCCAGTGGTCTCCCTTTCTCGGTTTCCCTGACCCAGGTGCTCTGAGGAACCTGCTTGCCTCGGGGTCTAGGCCAGTAACAGACTGGGAAGCATGTTGGCCTGGTGTCTGATTCTTGAAGACTCATGACCTGGGGCAGCCATGCAGCCCCACCATCACCACACCTCAAATCCTGATTGCTCAAAGCGTCTTTCTGGAGGCTGCCGCCGCCGCCGAACAGAGGTTAGTAATAAATATTAAAGGTACCCAACCAAGCACAGGGTTCTTTCCTGCCGGGAGCAAATCTGCCTGATCTTCTGGGTCTGTCCCTTAGGTAGAACATGGAATTATCTTCTTCAGGTTCAAGAGGATGCCCAGGCGGCCAGTTGGAGAGAGGAGTTGGAAAAGCCCTCACGTGCTCCCTCTCAGGGTCCCACCTGGGCCTGAAGGGAGGTGGCACGGAAAATTCATTCTGGGGTAAGAAGGTGGCTACTCTCCCCAGCACACTCAAGCACATGATAAGGTTTTTCAGCCTGGGCACCAGAAGTTCCCAAGAAAGGGGTCTCCTGAGGCCTGGGTTGTGTGCACCCCTCCTTTCCCGCCTTCTTTACCCCCGGTCAGAGGCTTTCAGCTGGGCTCTCGCTTTAGGAAGGAAAGGCACTCGCTCTGCTTCTGCCCTTGGAGGAGAGTGGGGCCGAGCCGCGGTGCCCACCTCTGGGGAGAGGCCTCGGCTGCCCCAGACTCGCTCAGCGGGACACTCAGCATGGAGGCTGGTGTGGAGCACCAAGGAGAAGCCTGAGCAGCACCATTGCTGTTAACTGCTGTGGTTAGGGGCCCCCGATGGCTCAGAGCTCCAGGGGTGCTCCCTTTGGGAGAGTTGGCTCTATGAGGGAACGCTGAAAGAAGAAAACAAAAACAAAAACAAAAACAAAAACCCAACCAACCACCATAAGAAGCAGTGGGAAATCCATGGAACTGCCAAGAGAGGGGAGAGTTGCCTCAGCGTGCTCGGCCAGGACGCTCCCGCTGTTCAGTTGGCACAGATTTAGGACGGCGTCCTGGCTTGGCGCCCCGCCAGCCCTCTGACGCTCACGAGTTGGTGCAGATGGTGAAACAGAAAAGGCTGAGGAGAAAACAGAAGAAAAGGCGTGAGGTGGCCCCTCACCAGGGCTCTTGGAAACAGCGAGCCCCTCGGACAAGGCCGCCGAGCATCTGGGGGTCTAATGGCAGTCAGGATGGGGAGGGAGGTCCTCTCCGCGAGGGGTGGCCCTGGTCCCCCCCTCCTCTGTGGAAGGCAGTGACTGGGGTCCCTGGCACTGGACAACGGGAGTGGTGTGGCTGCCACTGGGACTCCCCCGGGGCTTAGGCCGTGGCTGGCGAATAACACACACACAGACAGGCCACAAGATTTACACTCGGACGTGTGGGGTGTCGACGTGGCTCTATTCTTTTCCGGTGTCCGCTTCATGCAGTGCAGGTGGAGACGCTTCGGTTCCTGAAAGACAATGATAATTTTTGCTTCCTAGCACTACACGTGTGCGCGCATTCATTTCACCAACAAAAACGGCCACCATGTTGGGCTCTCCAATACCTCACGCTCATAACCATCTACTCCCTGAGTTACGTGCCCAGAATGACTGGTATCCATCTGTGGTTGGCTCCCAGAGTCGGTCAAGACAATGAGAGTTTGCAGTCCTGGTCATGATCAAGTTGGCCGCTTTGGGCACGCGGGAAAGCAGCAGACTCTGGGTGATAACGCCTCTCTGGGCTGGTGGGCCCACCATCATCCCCTCACTGTACCCCATTTCTAGCCCCTGACCCTTTCTCTCATGCGGCCATTGCTGCCCACTGCTGATTCTAGTCAGTCACTGAGGCTTGTAATCCCCTCGCCCCATCTGCAGGCTCTTCACTGACCGCCATCCATTCGTTCACTACTCAACTCTATGCACGCCAGGCTAACTGGGCCTGGAAGGGAATGGCTGCGAGGGAGTGACGAGCCCACTGGTCAACATTAAGGTCTTGAGAGGTGACAACAAAAGCTTTCAATTCACCCCAAATTATGCCAGTTTTGGGGCTTGAACATTATTTACAACTGAAACATGCTCTGTGAGTTGAGAGGGGGAAGTCAGTGACCCGAAGGGCGCCTCATTCTGTCACGTCTGAGGGGAAGGCCCTCCACGCACCCTCCCCTCTCGGTGCCAGTGCTGGCCCTCAGAGAGGCCCACCTTCTTCCCAGCCCTCGGCAACACCAGCGAGCTCGTAGTGCTTTTTTCGAAGCTCTCCCAGCTTTTGACGCTCCTTCTGCAGGTCATTCTCCAGCTCCAGCACCCTGACCTGTGGGAAGAGTGGAATTTTCTTTTGAGCAGCAATCTGACAATGGTCTCACTTTGACTTAATCCCTCTCCTTCTCTGCTGATTTCCTCTATCCTCTCCTGTTTACCCGTCTATCCCAGTGGCTCTTCCGTTTACTCACTGGGACCCTCTCCTGGAGGTGATGCTTTATAGCCCCAGTGGGTGTAGGGCTCATCTCATGCTCCTCTGAAATCTCTACCTGAAAGCAACTCTGATATCTAGCCTATATGTGTGGTGTGTTCCAATCCAGTTCCCCTTCTGCTTCAATCCTGCTTTCCTGGAAATCCAGGCAAGAGTCAGCTCAGATGATTCTCTCTGAGGGGCTGGTACAACGTAGGGTTATCATCATACAGGAAAAAGCACAATCCTACCAAGAAAATGGCTGGTTCCTGGTTACCCCTACTCCTCATTAATTCTAGTTATTTTACTAGTACTAATACTAGTTATTATTTTATTAATTCAAGAATTGTTTGCTGAGCACCGATCATGTACCCCGGCCTCTGCGGCAGGTGCTGGAGACGTGGTGGTGCACAGACGGACAAGGTCCCTGCTTACCTTGCAGGGGGGGAAACACAAACTCACGAACAAGAACAGATCAGAACATAATGAAAATGACACAGGGTCACGTGATAAAGGCCAAGGGTGATCAGCAAATGCTACTCAGGCAGGCGGGAGCTTGAGGTATCGGAAGAACAGAAAGGAGCCCCATGTGGCCGACGCATGAGTGGGGAGAGGGTCACGAGAGGAGAATGGAGAAACAGGCCAGGGTCATTTCATCCAGGGCCCCAGGGTTGGGGGCAGGAGTTTGGATATTAACTCTTAAGTGTGAAAGGGAAGCCACTCGAAGATTTCAAGCAGAGATGTGACGTGCTGTCATTTATGCTTTTAAAAATCTGTAGAACCTGAACAAACTCTATGGGGTGGGGCGAGAGTGGTTAGGTGGTTCCTTTTTTTTTTTCTTTTCAAATTTTTTATTGTGGAAAATGTAAAACCATACGGAAAGATGGAGACGATCTGGCGAACCCCATCATGGACCTTTCACCGAGTTCCACCAACTGTCAACCCAGGGCTGGACTTGTCTCAGCAATGTTCTTTCCTATTCTCTGCCCCCAACTGCCCCACCACCCGGCCCCACCATGGGACCACTTGGAAACAAGTCCTCGCATGCATTGCAGTTAAGCTGCCTTTGCAGTAGTTCAGGAGAGAAACGATGGTAGCTCAGGCGGGGTTAGGAAGATGGAAAAGAGGGGGAAGGTTCAGGCTTGGAGAGTTGGAGTTGACAGGACCCGCTGGGGGACTGGATGTAGAAGGGTGAGTGGGAAGGGAGGACCCAAGGATGACTCCTAAGTCTTAGCACCCAGGTGTGGGGGGTTCCAGTTACTGAGGCGGAGAAAACAAGAAGAGGGGCAGATCTGGGTGGGAGGGAAATCGGGAGCCCTGGTTTGGACCCATTAAGTTGGAGACGTATTTGGCATCAAGTGGAGAGATCAAGTAGGCAGTTGGACAAGCACAGAGCTCAAGGAGAAGATCGAGGCCGGGGAGAAGAATCTGGTACTTATCAGCATATAGATGGAATCTGCAGTCAAGCGGGACTGGATGAGCCCAGTAAGCAAGACAGTGTAGATGGCAGGGACTCGCACCTGATGTGATTTTTCCTAAAAGTGCCAAGTGACCCCCACAGAGACTTTCACATTCTCAATCTGGACTTTACCCCAAGACTGGGACCAGTAATTCTAGAACAAGGATGTCAGATCTTTTTTCAGGATCCCACTGATTCCTATTTCTCCACATGCCTTAACTTTACGAACTGGGAGAAATGGCATTGCCTTTGATGGGTTCTCAGTGAATCGATTTTTCTTTTTTAAACCAAGGTCATACACAAAGAATTCATATCAGAAGTTTTCAAAAAATTGCCAAAAACCAAAACCAAACAGAAACAGACTCATAAATACAGAGAATTGGGGGTGGCCAGAGGGGGAGGGGGTGGAGGAATGGGTGAAACAGGTTAAGGGGATGAAGAGGTACATTACCAGATGAGTGAGTCATGGGGATGAAAAGTACAACATAGGGAATATAGTCAACAGTATTGTTATGACGTTGCATGGTGACAGACGGTGACTATACTTAACGTGGCGAGCACTGAATGATGCACAGAATTGTCAAACCATTGCATGTATGCCTGAAAGTAATGTAACAGTGTGTGTCAACTCGACTTAAAAAAAAAATCATCCATCGTAAGACATTAAATACTAGTTGATGTCTGCTAGGAGATCCCTGATGGTAACGGTGAGGGGAACACCAGTCCGAGACCAGTGAGCCACAGTTAAGATTCTGAACTTAACCCATCGTCTGTCTCCACCGCCACTGTCCCTTCCAGTGTCATTTACATTCATGCCTGGGCTACTGGGTCCATCTGTGTGTGTTTCCTCCCCAAGTCTCTCCCCTACTGGCTTCTCTCCATGGGGATCAGACTTGGGATTGATGTCACTGGCAACCGATGGAACAGACGTGGAAGCGGGGATCCTACCTGGGAATCCATCTCCTGGCGTTTGATCTGGGTCAGTGTCATGCTGGAGAAGTCCATATTGTCTGCAAGGGCGGAGGGAAGGTCTTGTCAGGTGACACCCTGGCCGACTCTCTCGCCTGAGAGGCGGCCGTATGATACCAGCACTCTGCTGAAATGCTCGCTAGTTCCCAAAACACATGTGAAAGTCACTGATGTATAGACGGGGAGGAAGTGCGCTGACAGGGTAACGAGGATTGGGCGCGCCCCTACCCCCCAGCCCAGAAGAGTCGTGTCTTTGAATCCAGAGCAATCGCTACATGAAAAATCGACCTTAAGGCCTGTTGCTATGGTGACAGAAACAGCATGTGTACGTGGTGTCCCCCCCTTACGAGGAAGTAAGCACGCACGTAGAAAAGATGAATGAGAGAGAATGTGGAAACGGAGTTGTGGGAAACTGGGGACATAGAGACTAGCTGGACAGGATGGATATGGAAAGCAGTGCTTCGGGGCGGCTACCTGTCTCCTCAATCTGGGATTTGCCCGAGATGGTGGAGGCCACGACAGTGGCGGTGGCCTGGTTCACCCCCCGGGAGGCCTGCTGCAGCTGGGCCAGGTTTGGGCTGTCCTTGTCAGCTTTCACCTGCCAGGACCAAGCAGAGTCAGGTTCACACAGCACATGGCGGCAAGGACAGAGTCAAAGAAGTTGGTCCAATGGTTCCTAACAAACATACGGGATCACTAGGGGTCACTAGTCGACTTCTTACAAATTGCTTCCTATAAGGGGCGTGTGTTGTGGCTCAGTCGGCTGAGTGTCGGACTCTTGCTTTTGGCTCAGGTCATGATCTCAGGATCGTGAGATCGAGCCCCATGTCGGGCTCTGTGCTCAGTGGGGAGTCTGCTGAAGATTCTCTCTCTCCCTGTCCCTCTGCCCGTTTCCCACTTGGGCATGTGCACGCTCTCTCTCTTTCTCTCTCTCAAATAAATACGTAAAATTTTTTTAAAAAGATTTTATTTGTCAGAGAGAGAGAGACACACACACAAAAGCACAAGCAGGGGGAGTGGCAGGCAAAGGGAGAAGCAGGCTCCCCGCGGAGCAGGGAGCCCGATGTGGGGCTCGATCCCAGGATCCTGGGATCATGACCTGAGCTGAAGGCAGGCGCTTAACCTAAGGCTGAGCCACCCAGGCGTCCTAAATAAATCTTTAAAAAATGCTCTTATAGGGTCAACTCTTGGCGTATCTCTAATATGAAAAATTACTCCTGGCTTATTTGCTTGGTAGCCTCAGACTCTAGCTTTATCAGTTCTTGTGATAAACTGTTCTCGTTGCGGACACTAATTTGGGACAACAATAGATAAGGATGATAAGGACGCTCCCCAGAGTACTATAAAACTCACAGACAGATTTTGGTAACAAGCTTTGTATTACGATTAGTTGGGGGCAATGGTTCAAATTTGGAGACTTCAGGAACCTCAGAGCCGAGCCAGGGAACCAGCTCATGGCGCTGACACATTCCTTATTTGAGTGCACCTTGAATGCCCGGATTGCTAATCGGAGGTCGGCATGGCTGGGACCCTCAAAGGCCACTTGTCACAAAAGCGCTGAGAGTCGAGAGGAGAGCCCGTGTGGCGAGCTGGGCGGAGGAAAGGCTCTCAGGGGAGGGGAGGAGGGGACCCTTGAGAGGCAGAATTTTAACTTGGGACCTCATCTACCTGGACCCTGGATAAATCATCTGTTCTTGGGGCAGGCTCCGCTGTCCCAGTAGTCTGCAGCCTCGCCGGACCTTACAGTGCCCTGGGGAGTCTGGTACAGGTCCTACCTTAGAGGCAGCCACAAGCTGGGCTGTGCTGGCAGCGATTTCGTGCGAACACACCATCAGTTCCTCAAATTTCCCTCTGCCTTGCACCACCAGATCGGCTGCATCCCTGGTAGTCAGAAAGGGACGAGACAAATTATGTCCTGGACAGCTGCAACCCCTTATGATCCCGCCTCCAGAGAGCACAGCCGGCCCGGCCCATCCCTGTGCAGCCCCAGGAGATCCAGGCTCCCTTTCCAACTTTCAGTCCCGTTGACTTCCCTACCAACAGTTCATTTCCAAGGGGCAGACTGTTTGCCCTCGGTTGCTGTCTGGGATGGGTCGATGGAACTGGGGGTGGGGCTGAGGAGCCCTGGGAGTGACAGACACTTACACCATGACAGTGGCTCCCCAGCCCACAGCTTTGGAGGCCGAGATGAGTCCTTCCGTCCATCGGGAATTCTTGGCATAAAACTCTTTAGGTGATGCTGTGCCCTGAGGAAGTGAAAGGTAGTAACGACTAGCTTTTTCTCAAGGGCCTCCTATGCCCCAGTTGCTTTTATGTCTATTACTCCCATACGGACCTCACACCAACCCCAAGACGTAAGCATTATCACCCCATTTTACAGATGAGCAAACGAAGACTCAGAAAAGCAAAGATACTCTTCCCCAGTTCATGCAGGAGATAAGTGGAAGTAAATCCTAGACGTTTCTGACTCCAAAGCCCGTAGCATTTCTCTTATATCACATTTCCATGTTGTATATATAAGAATCTCTATCTATCCACGTGCACACAGGAACAACGTGATCCGAGAGGAGCCTAACCGCTCGCCACGATTTGCCAAAAGAGAAGAGTACTCAGTGAATAATTGAAGCAAATTATTTCTCCTTGGAATTTTAAAATGCCTTCATGCTTTGGAAGTATCTGATAGTCTTGGAAGCCACAGGTGCTCCTTGCTCGGTCCCTCTCTCTGTTTTGGGGATAGAAAACATCCCCTCTTGGACTGATAAAAAGCACCACTACTAAAGCAGATATGGCTGCCTTCTTTGAAGGATAGTGTTCAGGTCCGGAATCCCTCACTGGGCCTCTGTCCCCTGAGTTACAGCTGCACACAGGGTGTGAGAAGGAAACACATAAGCAGAGGAGGGAGAAAGCCCAGTGAGCACGTCGACCAGAGACTGGGGCAGAGTCTGTGAATAACTGTCAGCAGACTCTGCTGCGGGAAGGAGACATGGCCGCACTCACTAGGAAAGGTCAGCAACCAGGCCGGCCCCTCTGATTTGGCCAATTTTTCAAAAGCTCTCCCTTCCACCTCTGAGGGTCCAGGCTTGCAATGCACACGGGGTTTCCAGAGCAGGTTCCAATGATGTTGCCTGGGTTAATGACCCTGCAGCTGGAGGCTGAGGCTGACTGCCCTCTGGGGACCTGGGAACACCCCAGCTTCTTCCCGTGGGCATCTGCGCTAGGCCATGAGAAGCAGCTGCACCCTCAGATGCACACCCAGGACGAGATGGCAGCACCCGTGGATTTTGCTGAACGTGGACGAGTGTACTGAGTAGGTATAGCCTCTCGGTAAACTGGGAGTCTGTGAATGACCTGTCCAGGGGTCCTCACCCATGCTTACCCGGCCACTCTCCACTATCTCTCTCTGGAGGTCCTTCGAGGCCACGATCAGGACCTGAATAGCTTGCATTAGGCTTGTACAGGAACCAAGGATCCTAGGAGGAAAAAAAAAAAGTTAGGGTCACAGAAGAGAGACCAAGAACAATGAAGGAGTCTGTTCTCTTTTTCAGGCCTAAATACAGGCAAACCTGGGATGGGAAAGGCGGAGGAAATACACCTTCACGGAAAGGCACGTGAGTAGGGAGACTTGACTGGGGACAGTTATGTGATGATTCTCGGGGTTTCTCTTCCCCTAAAATGCAACGGCAATATTATCATCAAGAACACCGTTGTCGACAACTACACAGACTCATCCGTTGCCCATGACTGCTACTGTTCTAATTAGTATAATTCACTGCAGGGGAGACTCATCTGATCACCTCGAGGTGGCCCCACACGGCTCGGACTGACCTTTCGTTCACCTCCAACTGGACTCCTGTGTCTCCAGCTCGGGATTTGCTGAGCATCTCCTGTTAAAAAGAAGCAGGGTTTCTCAATACATGGTGGGTACTGGAGCGCTCACTGGCATCCTGAGACACTTTGTGTCCAACATCCTGTGGCAGCTGAGAAACCCAAATCCAGAAAGGGCCCATCCACATCCTGGTGAGTCGGGAAAAGAATCCAGACTTCTGATCTCTTCAGTGGGAAGCAGCCCCAGCAGGCTGGCTCTACCATCTGTGAGTGTCCATCCCAGGCGGACGTGTGCACAGAATTCTGGGAGCTATGGCACCCTGCCAACAGGGGGCAGCAGATCCCAGGTCCCAGCAGCAGGTACTCGCCCCAAGGCAGGCAGCCTGAGTCTTCCACCAAAGGAGCGCTATGGGACCTTTCCAATGCCGCCCACTCAGCTTTTCCCTGGGACAATCATGTCTGCTGATTTCACGGGTGCCTGCCACTGAGAAAAATGTGCATTATCTCCTTCAACTCTTACAACACCCCTCCGAGGCAGGTACTATTACCACTGCCCCATCATGCAGAAACGGGACCTTAGTGAGGTTCGTGGAACGACCTATTCCAAGGGACACAACTAGCAAGTGGTCAGCCTGGAAGTATGACGCAGGATGAACCGACACCAAAGTAGGTGAGGGGCTACTCATTTTCTATCCTCAGGGATCCTGTGGAGTTTGGGTTTTGGTTGGGCTCATAAGGGGCCTCGGTAGCCTTCATGAACAAGTCAGAGACATCCAGTGGGCAATGTCACCACGGGGAAGCTGCAAGAGCCTCGCTTTAGGAGACGTGCCAGATGCTTCCATACCTCGATTCTGGCCGTAGCAGTTTTGATGGCAGCTGACGTGGCAGCCATCTCCTTGTCCACCAGGTCCCCCAGCTCCTCCTGTTTGATGTCCAGGCCTCTGGGCAGGAGCTCCTGGGAACAGCATCACAAAGGCTGCAATGACCCTTTGACCTCCTCCTCTCTGTTCTCCCGTGGCAGAAAGCAAGGGAGAAGGGCCCTGCCATGTAACACACTTCTGGAACCCACAGAGGGGCCTCCTGTGCAGGCCTCGTCTGGAACTCGCTACTGCGTGAACCCCAGAACCTCACACTCCACCCCCCTCCTTCTAGAAAGCCATCCCTGCCTAAGCCCACAATGCCATTCAGTTGCAGCTGCTTGGACCCTGACCTCACAGTTGCACGGTACAGTGTATTTGTGGCTTGGGAGGTATTTTATTTTAAGATTCATTTATTTGAGAGAGACAAAGACAAAGAGACAAAGAGCAAAAGTGGGAAGGGCAGCGGGAGAGGGAGAGAGGATCTCAAGCAGACTCCACGGCTGGGCACGAGCCTGATGTGGGGCTCGATCTCATGACCCTGAGATCACGACCTGAGCTGAAACCAAGAGTCAGACGCTCCACCGACTGTGCCACCCAGGTGCCAGTTGGGAGGTATTTTAAAAACATCTTCAAATATCGGTGATGCCTTCCAACCAGACACTCTGCCTCTTATTGGACTTTGCGTCCACAGCAATCATATGAGGCAGTTACTAGTTCTGTTCTACACATGGGAAGCCAAGGCTCCGAGAGGTCAAATGTCTTGACCCCAGTCACACTGCTAATGGATGGCAGAGAGCAGGGATTTGAACTTGGGGCTGATGGCAAAGCCTGTGAATTGTGAAAATATTATTTGTTATACCTATGAGAGTACAAAACAGATATGAATGGTTTAAAGAATAAGAACAATGGCCCACATATCTACCACCCAACTTAAGGACTAGCTTAAGGAACGTTATCAGTACCTTTGAAATCTCCTTTGTATTCTGCCCTAACTCCATCTCCACCCTCCCTGCTTCCCACCTCAAGATAAACACAGAATTCAGGAGAATGCTTATTTTTTTTTTAAAACTCCCTATGAAGGCATCCTTAAACAGTATAATGTGAAGTACATATGTTTTGATCTTTATTTATTTCCTTTAAAGACTTTATTTATTTAATAGAGAGTCTTAAGCAGACTCCACACTGAGTGCGGAACCTGACTTGGGGCTTGAACTCATGACCCTGAGATCATGACCTGAGCTGAAACCAAGAGTCAGATACTAATTGACCCACTGAGCCACCCAGGAGCCCCTGGTTTGATTTTTATTTAAAAGGAATCCTACTCTATGCATTTTCCTATGACTTGCTTGTTCACTCAGCAGTCCGTGTGTCCTATAATGTGGTAATTCTATCTCCAGGCAAACACCCTAGAGAAACTCTTAAATCAGGAGATATGTACCAGAGTGACCAAATACACATTCGTGATAGCCCCAAACTGGAAAGAACCCAAACATCCATCAACAATAGATATATAGCTATATAACAGATATGTAAATAAATATAAACAGATACATAATAGATGTATAACTTGAGCTATAGTCACATGACAGACTGCTACAGAGCAGTGAAAATGAACATATCTGCATGGATGAACCTCACATACAGAATGCTGGAAAAAGCACGGTGTAGAAGAAAGTCTGTAACACACAGAACTAAAAATGTTACTTAGGGAAAAAGGACACAGTTTTTCTATTACCTTCACTTGGAACCCTGATTAAACATTCTACATATAACTTCTACACTCCAGCTTCTAAAATCTGTGCCACATTCTATGGTAATTCCTTCAGTTCTATCATCCAATTCACTAATTCTTTCTTCAGCTTTGTTTTAACCTGCTGTTGGATCTCTATGCTAAGTTATGACTTTCAATGATTATATTTTTCATTTCTAGAAGTTTGGTGGTGGTTTTTCAAATATATCTGGTTACTTTTGAAAGTATCTTATTTCCTTGCCACACTTTTTAATATCCTTTAAAAAGTTCTTTAACATATTGGACACATTTATGATGAATGTATGGGCCTTGGGACTTTATCTGTGAAAGTTCCTTGGGGTTTAGAGTCAAAGTATACCTCTTCAGAGACCATTTGGATCTGCCTCTGCCAGGTACCTGGGCCCCTAATGACCTGATTACTTTAATTTTCTGTTTGGGTTTTTTTTCAGGCCACACAGGTAGTAGATTTGGACCCTGAAGCCACAGATACGTGGCTTGTAGTTAGAAATTCCCTAGGAGGCCGTGTTGCCTCCTTTTCCCCGCTACAACCAAGGTTGAGACCAGATCTCTCCAGTAGAGTAGGCTTTTCCCCCGTTCACTTGGGGTGTGATCTTTTGGAGTTCTGTTTTGGGGAGGAAGTCTCTGCATTCCAAACTTTGACCCTACTTGGGCCTAGGTTTTGTTTCTTACTCTCCCCTGTATGTGTGGCCCACTAAAATCCAAGCTCTAGGCCAAAAGATGAACAAACACTGGCTCCTGCATCCTTTTGGTTTCTGATTCTGAGAATTTCCTTAGTTTTCCGCCAGTTCAGATTCAAGTAACATTTTTCCCCCCAAACTTTATTTAGCATATTCCACGCCCTGTCCTAGGAAGAGTTCTAAACATCTGGTCTGTCCTACTGCCAGAAAGGAAACCTGCCCAGGATCTTCCTCTCACACCTTGCTTTTTAAAATTAATTTGATTCTTGGGGCGCCTGGGTGGCTCAGTTGTTAAGAGTCTGCCTTCAGCTCGGGTCACGATCCCAGGGTCCTGGGATCGAGACCTGCATTGGGCTCCCTGCTCGGCAGAGAGCCAGTTTCTCCCTCTCCCACTCCCACTGCTTGTGTTCCCTCTCTTGCTGTGTCTCTCTCTATCAAATAAATAAAATCTTAAAAAAAAATTAATTTGATTCCTACTTCCTCACCTAATGGTGTCCTACACATGTGCGTACTGAGAAGCAGTTCTGCATGGCCCTGGAGAAGGTGGTCTATCTCCAGCAAAAGGCAGACTGTGGTAAGGCTGCCTAGGCCGCCATCAGCAATTTAATAACACTAAAATACCACTGGGATCGTGTCATTCTATTGAAAGAAAGGTCAGCAATTCACCATTATCCATAGCCTTCCTTCATCCAGACATTCACAATTCCCTACCTCGTCGCCCACTTCTCCCCAGTATGAACCTTCCTACCCATCTGATCTTTTTATCTGCTTTGCTTTCTCCGTATGTATATTCCATTAAATAAACATTCACTGGGTGTTAGCCACCTGCCAGATACGCCAGGGACCAAGGGGATGACGTGAAGAAGGTGCAGGCTCTGTCTTTAAGGATCATGGGGGAAAGAGACAGGTAGGCAGGTACACTGCAGCACTAGCCACCAACATCGCAAGGTGAAGGTGGTGGGTGGGAGGGACCCAGGAAGGTGAATAAGGGCCAGACTGTGACAGTCCTTGGGTATCACATTACATAATTTGATTTTTGTTATTGAACGAGGAATCACAATCAGATCTCTGTTTTTCGAAGAGATTAGAGGAAAAGAGGCCAAGAGGCAGAAAAACTAATCAGAAGGCTGTTATAAGAGTTCAGATGAGGGATGACGACAATCTGAACTCCGGCCCTGATCTCTTCATACCCTGGACTTACTGTTATGACCCATTTTTGGAATCAAGTAAATGCCTTGTACTGAACTCTTAAAATAGAGCTGATTACCGCTCTCATCCCACTGTAGAGAAATGGGTGATTTCCTTATTTTCCTTTCCCATAGGGACCATGTCTTATTTGTCCCTGTACATCTAATACGTTCCCCACTATGTGCAACGTACTCACTGCATCTTTATTCAATCAATAAATATGCTGTTATCGCCATGGTAGGTGTTAACCTGTTCAACCAGATACAAATCCCGGAAAACAGAGAAACTATGCTTATTCTTCTTTGACACTGCTTAGCACAGTGACGAACACACAGTAGGTTCTCAATGCACAGCCAACACATGAGATATAACGGGAAGGTCGTTCAGGGGGTCAGATTTTTCAGCGCCAACTCTCGCTTTCTTGAGTCAAATGGAAAGCGCAGAAAGAATGGGCTGAGGACATCACTGAGTCCCTGGCAGATCACCGGCACTCACCCCCAAGAACCTCTGTTACTGTCCCCTGTAGTAACACAGCTCCTACCTCGGTAATGGCAGAGATCCTGTTGAGGCAGCTCTTCACGGCCGTGCCGTCATTTTCCCGCGTTCCTTCCTCTTCCAGGAAAGCCAGGTAGAGGAGGGTTTCCTTGCCAAACTGCTTGCAGGCCTCAGTCAGCGCTGGAGATGCAGGGCAACCAAGACTTTTGAAGGCCCTCTGCTCTCCCTGTTTTCCAGCCCAGGCCCCCAGCCCCGGTACTCACAGTCAGCAGGTTCCAGCGGGGCTCGAAGGCAGGTGGTGCTCACGTAAGCCATGGTGTCACTGGTCAAGTGGGCAAGGAGGGTGACCGAGTGGAGGAGCCCACTGATATCTGCCAGGAGTTTAAAGGGGGTTGCTCAGGGCTGTTGAGGGGTAGGTTTACCTCCCTACCTCCTTCCCTGCTTTGCAAGTTATATACACCCCTTTCTTGGTGCAGAGGAACCCATTGCTACTTCCATACGCAAGCATTTCTGAACTCGGTCCAGCCATCACTAAGTGACAGACCCTATGCTGTGCCTTTCTTACCTTCTGGGTGGGCCAGGTAGCGGCTCCAGCTTTTTTCCAGTTGCTCGAGGCAGCTGGAAACAGACTTGACCTTGGAGAGAAGGTGATCTGTGGTGGAGGGAGACAGGGCAAAGTCAGAGGCGGAGCTGTCAGACCTGCTTGCTCCCCGTGAGGGTAAGGCACGTGACGGATGCGCCTACCTCGTGAGTGGCCTCAGCCCTGCAGGAGCTGCCCTAAGATGGGAGGGCGGAGGAAAGAGGGTTCACTGCGCTCGTACAGGACTCTCTCACTGCAGCCTCAAAAGCTGTGCTTCTGGGCCCATCTGGTCCCTTAGCCAAGAGCCAGGGCAGCCACATCAGCAGCCTAGAGTGAGCCTCTCCCTTCCTCGGGACTGCCTGCCCAAATAAATCCAGGCCTTCCTGTTACGTCTTTCAAGGACCTCGGACTCTCATTAGTCTTGAGCCCAGACCCTTGGCTCCGTCAGGCTAATCTGGGCTCATGCTGTGCACACAACACAGAACAGCCATTCCCACTCTGTGCCTCTGGGCACAGGTCCGCAAAGATTTTCACATGGGAGTTGAAGTATGGGGGCCTCATGTCACTGCACAGGTGTGGCTCCTGGCTCCATCACCAGTGGCTACGATCGCAGGCCATGCACACCTGCTTCCTCAAGTGAAAACAGAGTAACAGGACCACCTCATGGCACCACAGTGACGATTCACTGGGCCGAGGCGTGTGGAGCACTTAGAACGGCGGTTGGCACATGGTGCGTGCTCCGTAACGTCAGCTGTTTGTGTTATTTTACCCCCCGCTTCTTCCCCTCCAGTGGCTCCTGTCTGTCCTCTTCCTTCAAAGCCCAGCTCATAAAGTCTCTCCTCAGAATCCGCCCACGGCTGCCCCACTCTCTGGCATTCCCTCAGTAAACTGGGAACTCAGTGTGCTCCTTCCTCCTTACAGATGGGTTCCCTGCTGAGTAAGATAGAACAGCCTTTGCCGCAGACGTCACCAAATGGAGACATTTTTTTTTTTTTTCCCAAAGATTATTTTAGGGAGAGAGTGTGCACGTGTGCAAGCAGGGGGAGGGGTGGAGGACGTGCGGAGAGAGAAACTCTCAAGCAGACTCCCCGCTGAGCACGGAGCCTGACATGGGGTTCGATCTCAGGACTCTGAGATCATGACCTGAGCCGAAATCAAGAGTCAGACGCTCAACCGATTGAGCCACCCAGGCGCCCTGTAGACATGACTATTTGATAATCAAAGTCAACTCTCGGTTGTTTCCTGCCATCTGCCTTGTCCTCAGTGGGCCCTCTGGTAGCTACACCCAGGACTTCACCAGTGCCCTGGGCCTGGATGCTCTGCCACCTGAGGCCCCTCCTCTCATCCACAGGGCTTCTCTGGCTCTGACCGCTGCCCCACCCGCATGCCCTTAGGACTCTGGAACATGCAGAGTGGGCCTTGTTCATGCCTGGGACTACACGGGTATTCTCAATGTTCCTGCCCCCCGTGTGGGCCTGAAGCTCCCAAGCAACCTTCTCTTCATTCAGGCCATGTTCTTCTGTCCAGAGACACATTGGGCCGTCTGCTCCTCCTCCCCCTGGTGCTTGGACTCGAGCAGTGGTATCACACCTGGGGGCTTTAGAAAGTTCTACCACCTGAGGCCCTGGGCCACAGAGCTTCTGGCTGAACTGATCTTAGGGTGGGGCCTGGGCATCGCCAGGTGACTCTGACTTGCAGCAGGTGGAGGACCCGTGAGCTCAGGTCACGCGGGATTCAACGTCACCACTGACCACTGAATTTGCACGTGCGGGCAGGCAAGGGGGGAGGGTACCTGCAGAGCCGGCACAGCTGATCAGAGTGGGCTCCTCGAGCTGCCGCAGGGCCTCCTGGACCACCTGCTCTGCGGCCTTCCTTGACTCTGCCAGCAGCATTTTCCGTTGGTCTTTGGCGACCTGGCACGCGGATTCCTAGAAAAGGTCCAGGGAGGTGAGGATCAGACACAGACCCCATCAGGAGCCTTCGAGCAGCATCCACCTTGACACAGTGGGGAGTCCTGGCATCTTAACTCAAGCTACTGCTAAAGAGGTGGGCATCCGTTACTTGCCCTTGCGCTGGACAGTTCCCGCTGGGTGTGTTCGAGCTGTTCCTGAAGAGCGGATAACTCTTCCTCCCGACGAGCCACGGCATGCGCCAAGCTGCTCCGCTCCTTCTCAAGCTCGGCGATCTGGCCGGCCCACTTTGCCTCTGACTGCAACGTTGGCCGGGTTAAAGAGGGAGAATTAAACGCTCCACTTCCCAGGAGTCCAGACCCACCAGCAGGCCACAGGGAACAGGAGGCGTCACCTTCATTCCCCCAAGCACACACTGAGCACGGATGGGACCAGCTTGGTCAGCTGCTGCGTGGGGCTGGACGCCGGGTGACAGCAGTCCCAAAGCCAGAGAGGGAAAAATGTGGAAGGGAGGCGATCCTCACCTGGGCAGAAGTTTCCAGGCTGCCTTGGACAATCTGGAGTTCCTGTTTGCTGGTGGCAAGTTCTTGCTTCAAGCTCTCTAGTACTTCCGTCTGTTCTTGAGTCTGAAAGAGAAGAAAAACAGGAGCCCTCTGATCTGGGTGGTGGTTGTAAGAGATAAACACATATAAAACCCCCCAAGCTATTGGGGCACCTGGCTGGCTCAGTCAGCATGCAACTCTTGATCTCGGGGTCACGAGTTCGAGCCCCGTGTTGGCTGTGGAAATTATTTAAAAACAAAATCTTAAAAAAAAAAAGTCCCCAACTCATCAATGGGAGATTTGTGTACTCTCTTGTATGCAAGATTGGATGCATCCAGCAAAAAGTGGGTGGGAGGAGGTGATAGCCCAGAGTGTTCCAGAAAGTTTTCTTCTGGTTAAGCAGGGAAAGCCGAAGGGAGAATTTTAGGGACATTTCCTAAATATCATGCTTCAGCTTATAGTACCGATAATAGTAGAACTAAATCTTCTTTCTTATAAAGTGTTTTTTTATTTTTTAAAATTGAAGTATAACTGATACAGAACTGGATCTTTAATTCAGACATCCCAATACCTGGTATGATGCTGAATCTAACCATCTTGAAACAACTCTTTTTGATTTCTTTCTTTTTTTTTTTTTTTAAAGATTTTATTTATTTATTTGAGAGAGAGAGAATGAGAGAGCACATGAGAGGGGGGAGGGTCAGAGGGAGAAGCAGACTCCCTGCCGAGCAGGGAGCCCGATGCGGGACTCGATCCCGGGACTCCAGGATCATGACCTGAGCCGAAGGCAGTCACCCAACCAACTGAGCCCACAGGCGCCCCTGATTTCTTTCATAAGTGCTACTTTTCAAAGAGCAGGTTGCAACCCATTAGAATTCACAGCTAACATTAAAAAAAAATGAAATAAACGGAGGCACCTGGGTGGTGCCAAGTTGGTTGAGCATCCAACTCTTGGTTTCGGCTCAAGTTGGGATCTCAGGGTTGTGAGATCGAGCCTTGCGTCAGGTTCCGTGCTCAGCGCGGAGTTTGCTTAACACTCTCCCTCCCCTTGCCCCTCCCCCCAACCTCTGTAAAATTAAATCTTTAAAAAAATAAAAAATAAAAAAATGAAATAAACAGAGCAAAAAAAATCCAAATGCATCCACAGAGTAAGGATGAATATTGCTTTGTGACACTTTTACTTCCATTAAATAGACCATATTTCCTACTCTGAGTCACAGAGAAGCGTGACTGTTAAGTGTAAGGCATTCAGTTTTCTCTATCTGACACATCCTACTGCAATGGGACCTGCCTGCCAATCCCACCCCAACTCGTGGGTGTTCTCCCAACCACAAGTCCTCATAAATGTTCACGTCTCTCTCTGATCTCCAGGTGCTTTTACTTCTCTCAACCATCCCAGACTCGCCCTTGGCAAGACTTTGCTGATGCACCTGCTCAGCTGAAGCCTCTTTATCACGCCATGCCTCTAACCCCTGGTGCGTTGGTCACCCTGTCCCATGCTCACACCTCTTGTAGCACGCTCACAGGGCTCTAACCCACAGGGCTGCCTGTTGCAGCAAAAGACAAGGTCTTTCCACCTGGGCAGCACCCGAGGCCCGCCTCCAGCTCAGGCAGAACCCCTCCCTCATTCCCCCTGCACTTTTCCTTCCCCTCACCTTCCGCTGCGCCTGGTCACTTATTCGCTGGAAGGAGTCCTCTAGCTCTTTTTTCTCTCGTTCCAAATCCGCCTGGGCTTGCCTGGCCACGGACACCTGTTTGGTCACCTCTGCATTCTGTAGGGGAGGAACAGTGTCTTGAACTGGCTTATCTCAGGTTTAACAACTCGGGGACAACATCTACTTCTAGAACAAATGACAACGTTCAGACAGCTGGACACAGAAATCACTTTTCTACCCAGAGAGAAGCCAGAATAGAGATGTCATCTTCAGATACTCGACGCTCAAGAATTTAAAAGAACAGGGGCAACTGAGTGGCTCAGTCGGTTAAGCGTCCGAGTCTTGATTTTGGCTCAGGTCATGATCTCGGGGTCATGAGATTGAGCCTTACATCAGGCTCTGCACTGGGCGTGGAGCCTGCTTGGGATTCTCTCTCTCCCTCTAACCCTTCCCCCCAACCCTGCTCTATCTCTCCCTAAAAATAAATGAATAAATAAAATAAAAGAATAATAAAGATGGGGGATAATCCAATCAGGGCTGACATCAAAAGTCAAGACATGGAAGGCCAGCAAGCTTGAAAAGCAGTGGTTTCCATGAAATGATGGTGACCCACTCAGAATTGGTGGGGACAATGGAGCGGCGGTGTCTCCTGCGTTGTGGGGACAGCGCACGGTGCAGGGTCCTACCTTCCGCAGCAGGTCAGCGTGGTTCTGCACCAGCTCACTGTACTTTTCCTTTAGCTTGCTGTACCGCTGTTCATTGGCTTGGGCTCTCCCTGTATTGTCAAGAGCCAAGGTGAGCAGTCTACCCCTGCTGGGACCCTGTGCCTTCCTTCCATAAGCCAGAATCCCTAGAACAGCCTTCCTCCTTTTCACAAATGCAAACACCTTCTACGCCCTCAAAAATCCCACTGAAATAAACTCCTCTTCATCGGTGTTTCTGGTGTTAGGCTATCTCTCCTTCGGAGACCCTGTCCCCCAGGCAGATACCCCACTGTCACCTCCTGGTTCCCGTCCCCGCATTCTGAGCCCGTGGGGCTCTCCACTGGCTGGGCTCCCACCCGCCCCTCAGAGTGGCGACATGAAGGTCCTTCCTGGTGGCTCTTCTGGGCAGAAGCACGGCTGGGGCTCTGCCACCCAGCCCTATCCTTCCCCCTGAGCCTTGCCTGACTCTGCGGCCCCCGCCTTCAGCCCCAGCCTAACGGACTCACTTTCTATCTCGGTCAGGCTCCGCTGGGCCTTCTCCGTGTCTTCGCGCTTCTTCTTGAGCTCGTCCAGCTCGGCCCGGAGAAACTCGCTGTCATCAGCCGCCTGCTGCCGCAGATGTCGCTGTTCTGCAAGCTCAGCCTCCAGTTCGCTGACCCGGCCCTTCAGCTGCAGCACGGCCCGCTGGCTCTGTGGGATGGACTCGGCCAATGAGCCCCAGCGCTGGGCCACGGGGCTGGGCTGGGCAGGAGAAGCGGGTCCTCCCAGGCTTCCAGCACTGATCCAATGAATACCCATGTTTGCCTAACAAACCCCGCCCCCCCCCCAAGGGCCTCATGAGAGTTGAGGCTTCTGGTCATTATAAGCCACCAGCCAACAATGGCGTGACGACAGGAGGACTCTGGTCTTGTTGGAGTGGCCTGGGAGCAGTCCTGGACGAGCGGGCACGAGGGAAGAGGGGATGTTTGCCTGCCCCCGTGAGTGAAGCCCGACCAGCCATGGGCCTGGGGGGCAGTCCTATTTACCGCCCCAGACCCCACAAACAGCCTTGAGAGTTACAAATCAGACCTTCCGATCGCCACGGGAGGAGAACAGGTCTTCCTCACTGTTGGCTTCACAGCCAGCCGGCGGTCATGGTTAACTCAAGAACCAAAGGGAGACAGGGCTTGGCTCAGAAGTCATTCTTAAGGTAGGAATGACGGAAATGCAGCACTACCAAGACCACGGAAGGACCAGGGCCTTCTGGCTTTCGAGTTTCTACTAACGAGCACCCCTGCCATCCCCCTTAAAATGTGGTCCGACAAGTGTCTCTGCGAATATGAACATGCCACGGCGAAGCCCAGAACTGGATCAGAGCCCGACTCATACCTCAGTCTTCATGTTCTCCAGCTGTGCCTTCAGCTCACTGACTTCCCTGTATAGTTGACCAATTAAGTGATCCCTGGGAACAGAAGGAGAACAAGTTTGCTTCCACTGTGCTTCCATCCCTTTCCTTTTAAATGCGAGCTGGGAAATCAGGGGAGGAAGTTAAAAGCTGGTGTTAATTTGGGGAAAGTTTTTTGAAATTCCATACATTATATGCTAAGACCCTCCGTGTCACTGGATCCGAATCTAACACCCATGGGTTATTCAACCTTATCTGATCTCCCTCTGGGATTCCAGGGGCCGATATTTGAGCATTGCGACGCTTCTCTGCGGGGCCCAAGTGTCACTGAGCATCCCGCCCTGGTCGGGGGTGGCCAGCCAGACCCCGGCTTCATGTAGTTTCTGCACCACCTGCCTGCTCCCAGTGTGGACTCACTTCTCATCCTTGTTCACGCCGTTCTGACTGTTGAAATTGAAGGGGTCACTGCTGAATGAGCTGCCAAAGATGTCATCAAACTTGTTGTCAAATAAATTCTGTGGTGACCAAAAAGGAGTGAGGACAAAGTTAGAGATCCAGAGACTTCTGTACGGGGCTCAGAGGAGTGAGATGTAAAAAAAAAAGGGATCCTTTCTTAACTGGGTTCAAGTCCATCTGTGGTCCCTCTTAGAGACCGCAGGGCAGGGGCCTCAGTCTAGGTTAGCGCTTTGGTTAGAAGTTGGTCCAGCTTGGTGACAGCCAAAGGGTCTTGGTCAGAGCCTCTCCCCTGCCCATATGGGGCAGCGCGAAGGGCCGCACGTGGGGCTCACCACCTGCTGTCACCCTAACCCTAACCTAATCCTAAGCCTAACCCTAACACGTGGGGCTCGCCACCTGTCACCCTAACCCTCGGGTTCCAGTGGAGGTGCTCCTCACCTGCTGGGAGGCATCCATGTCCACGAGGTCATCCTTCTCTAAGACGGGCTCGCTGTCCGGGGACGAGGCCTCGGCCGGGATGACCACCACAGGGCTGATGTGTTCTGACAGCGCAGAGGCCCGCAGGAAGTTGGGTGGGTTCTGAGGAGGGAAGACACCCCCCCAAACCGTGTCACCCGCCAGTCCTGCCCGTCTCTGAGATCTGAGAGCACCCAGGACCCGGCAGCTCCCACGGCAGGGCCGGGCGCACGTACCTCAGGCAGTTGAGGGATCTGAATGAGCCGCTTGAAGTACTGGAGGTTGCTGGAGCGGTAGAACAGATCTTTCAACCTGGGGGTGGAGAAGGGCCTGAGGGGTGCTGGGCACCTCCCCGGCCCTGGGGTGGGGACAGTGCAGCCCCCCAGCTGTCCTGCTGCCTGCCCAGCCCAAAGGCGCGGGCTATCAAGGAAATGACCTCCATGGCACTGGGATTCGATTGTGACGCTGCAGGGGGAGGTTATCTGGAGCCTGTCCTCACTTACGTGGTGGTAAGGAAAGAGGGATTCAAAGGACAGAATCCTCTGGAAGAGCGGATCCCCCCAGAACAAATTTCTGCATCGCTGTGGAATCTATGCTGTTGCATGGCAGATGTCTTCCCAGGAACGTTTGGCTTAGAATAACATGAAAATAAATGTACTCTCTCTGAGGATACGCGACCTAACCACAGGCATGGGGAAGGAAACGTCATTACTGAGGGAGATCCCTTTGTTTTGGAGCTCTGTGTTATCTCCCCAGTTAGACTAGAAGCTTCCAGAGGGCGGAGACTGGGTTCTGCTGAGCTGGGCTTGCCAAGGAACCACGCACAGAGGAATTAACTCATCAAGACTTCACTGGAGAAAAGCAATCTATTTATACTGTGTCCCAATCTTGGATGGGTATGGGAATGAAGAAACCAATTTTTTTTCTCATCTTTGGGTCTCCATTTTGAATCAAAACATGGAAAGCTGAGGAAGCAGAGAGCATCAGACAGATTTCCTGAGAGGAGAGAGGATGGTGGGTCTCTGTGCCCTCTCCCTGCAACCCACAATCTCCTCCAGCTCAGCCCAATACACTAAACCCCTGGGATCTCAGGCCAGCCCTTCTGACCCCAAGGTTGGGGTTGCCCCTGTCAGGTCATTGGCACTTTCCCCGAATTCGGGGACACTGAGGCCTCAGGGAGCCGCCGGGTCTGTGCAGACGAGAGAGTGAGGCAGCTGCTCATGGGAGAGGGTTTCATAAGCTAGAAAAAAATGAAAGGAAATAAAATCACCTGACCACACATCCCCCTCTTTCTGGGCTGGAGCCAACAGTAATAGGCTGCTTTGCTTTCATAAGCTACTGGAATTTACCATTCCAGGAAATCAGCCCCAGGGCCTGTCTCCTAGGATTTAATAAGTCATTTATTATAGAATAAACATATAAGGCTTTTCAAATGGAATAAGGAAACCGGGAGGTTAGGACAACCCTGAACTTGGCCTCTGACTGCTGCCCGGGGAACCAGCACGAGAAGTCTGAGCTTGGGGTTTGGCAGCTATGCTTTTTCTCTGTTGTCAGGGCTGAAGAAACTAACAGGCAAAACAAGAGGGTCAAAGAGAGCGTGCTGAGCCCCAGGGCTCTTCTCGGCACCTGGGTTCTCTCTCTCATGCCATTCCTTCCCCTCTTCCTTGGGCACACGTAACCAGTGATGAACTGTATGTCTCCCCTCGCCAGCAATCTTCTTCCCCAAATGCACAGAATAATTTACCCCTCAGTCAGACAAACTCTCCTCTTCTAGACAAGACAGCTGGCTTACTAGTTTAGTAATTTATCCAAATATTTATGCGTAATTGGCTGCTACGTATCAGGGGCTAGGGATGTAATAATGGAGAGTCAGGCATAAATAAAGCTGTGCTAAGAACCATGAAAGAAATAAATTAGGTGCTGGGCTGAAGAATATGGGGGGGCGGAGGTGGGGCTGGAGGAACAGGAGATGAAGAAGACCCGACTTAAATAAGAGATTTAAGATTTAAGGCCAGAGATGCTTTTGTGGGGAGGTGACCAAAGATGACCCAGAGCCGGCCAGGCTGGGAGAAGAGCCTCACAAAGAGAGGGAACAGCAAGCACTAAGGCCTTGATGGAGAAATGAGCTGGGAATGTTCCAGGAACTGGAAACGGACCCCATGTGGTGGAAACACCATAAGCCCTAAACACAATAAAGATAAGGTCAAAGATAGCAAGCAGGGCCTTGGAGATCATGGAGAAGAGCTTGGATTTTCTTCTCAGTGTAATCAGAAGCCACTGAAAGGCTCTGAGCAAGGGAATGACGTCTTTATGAGGTTGTTCTAACTGCTGGGGTGGGGGGACAGGATTTCAGGGGGCAAGAGTGGAAGCCCAGGGCATCCGCCATATTGGAGGGTCGTGGCACAAAACGATGGTAGCCCCAGAGATGGCAGCTATGATTGGAGCCAAGATATATGTGCAGAGCATCTGCCACTGGAGTGGACATGGGAGAGGAGGACAATGGTGAGTTCCAGATCTCTGGCCTAAATGGATGTGGCAGCATTTACTGAGATAGAAAGGGCCGGGAAGGAAAAATTTGGTTTTTTTTTTGTTTATTTATTTATTTTTAGAGAGAAAGAGCATGAGGGGGAGAGGGAGAGAGAATCTCAAGCAGACTCCCCGCTGAGCGCAGAGCCCAATGAGGGGCTCGATTCCACCACCCCGCCATCACGACCCAAGCCGAAACCAAGAGTTGGATGCTCAATCAACTGCGCCACCCAGGCACCCTGGGAGAAAAAGTTTGCGGAGGAAAACCTAGAGCTCAGTTTGAGATGTAAGACAGATAACTGGGTGCGTGAGACCCAATTCAGAGGCAAGGCTCAGTCAGCTAGAGATACAGATCTGGGTGTTGCGTTTCACGCACATGGACCATACGTGGTATGAGAACGTAGGGAGAAGAAAGAGAGGATGAAGCCCGGGGCATACAGCAGGTGATGAATGAATGGATGAAATCACCTTCTCCGACATGCTCGTGTGGACTTTATTAGAGAACGGATAGCTTCGCCAGCCAGTGGTACATTTACTGCCGTCCTCGTCACCTTCCTCCACTCTACTGGTTTACTCTGCCGATACCCTCATTCCTCAATCATTTTAAAACAAGTGCTCTTGTGTGGATTAATCAAGTTTATAGCATTCGTTTCTCTCACTTAAGCCACTTACTTGGTGAATTGCTCCATGAAACGATCCCGGTGGCCTTGCAGGGTGTCGGCTGGGAGACCTGGAAGAAATTGGGAAAAGAGTGAGAGGGAAGAGGACCACAGGAGGACCAGGCGAGCCACAGCGGGGCTCTGGAGGGAGAGGACCATCCACCCTGGGGCTTGTGGCCAGCCTGCCAGGCCTACAGCTGCCCCAGGAACAGGGACTGGTAACCAAGGGGGCCCAGAAGGGCCAGCCATGAGTCTAGGGGTGCTTCTCCTCCACATCTGTCCTTCTGTTTGTTCTTGCAGCATGAGCCATTCTGGGTGCAGTGGGCTGGAAGTTGTGTTCCTGACCACGGAAGACACCGTGGTGACCTGACCAAGCAGCAGGATAGACCCCCAGCAGGTGGCAGAGGTGTGGCTCTCTCAGAAGTACGTGCACTGGGTCGGTCCAGCACAGACGTTAATCTGCGAGGGATCCATAGAGCCTGCACGAGAGGATGCCTGCCAGAAGGCAAAGATTATAGGACAACACTCAGGATCCCAGTCTGGTGCTCACTCAGTCACGGCCAACGGCAAGATGCTGGACAAGCAACAGCCTCTTAGACCAGCCCCCTCTCCTACAGAGTGGGTTCTCTGAGGTCCCTTCTCCTCCCAGAATGCATGACGCTGCATACTTCAACTATAGATCACAACTCGGTGATCCCTTTATTTCTTGTCTTGTTCCTTAAACGTACATTTTAGGAATTTTTTTTAATTAACATAAAATGTATTATTTGTTTCAGGGGTACAGGTCTGTGATTCATCAGTTTTACATAATTCACAGCGCTCACCATAGTACATACCCTCCCCAGTGTCCATCACCCAGCCACCCCCAGCCCTCCCACTGCCCCATTTTAGGAATTTTTGAATAGGAATACATTTACTTGGTACAAAGAGGGAGTACGTGTATAAACATACGATAATTCAAAATGCCCACCAAAACGGTGGATGATGATGGCACTTTATCTCAGTGGCCTCTCTCCCCAGAACACTTAACCCCAGTCCAGTCATGAGAAAAACACCGGGCAGACTTAACTCAGGGGACATTCTACAAGTGTCCGACCAATTCTCGAAACCATCAAGGTTGTCAAAAACAGGGAAAGTCCGAGAAACTATGACAGCCAAGAGGAGGTTAGGGAGACACAATGACCCAATGTAATGTGGTGTCCTGGATGAGACGTTAGGTAAAAACCATGGAATTCTGAATAAAGTATGGACTTCAGTTGATAATAATGTATCAATAACGGTCCATTCATTGTGACAAATGTATCATATTAATGTAAGATATTAACAATAAAGGAAACTGGGTTCAGGGTATGGGGGGGACACTTCCTCAGCGATCTTTACAACTTTTCTGTAGATCTAAACTATTCTAAAATGAAACCTTCATTTTTAGAGAAGTATATATTGTGCAGGATAACTGCCTTTCTTCCCTTGGGATTCAGTCTGCTCTCTGCCCCTCTGGGTGCGCTCACTTGTCCAAAGCCTTCCTAACACTTAAACATCTGATTCCAACCTCCCTTCCACGAGATGCTCCTGGATTAACCCGAGTGATGCCGCTTCCTGTGCCCCCTAAATAACCAGACCCACTTCCTGTCAGTGACCACAGTTCTAGACTATCCCTTGTCCCTGTCTTCCGACATGCATCCTTGTCCCTTTGCCAGGGCCATAACACCTTGCTTGTATCCACTCAGGTCTTGATTTTTCTTGGTTCTCCCTCATCCATACATTCTGCACATGTATATCCCTCATGGGGAACGCCTCTGAGTGTGGACCAGAAACCACCCAAATCAGCTTCACCTGGGGTATGGTTTCACCATGCACACCCCAAACCTACTGGACCCACCCACAGCAGACCCCACAGGAGCAGGACCCACACACATTGTATAAACAAGAAGCACACAAAAGTATAAGAACTCTACAGTAGTTTCCAAGATAGAATCTGCAAAAGCATCCCAGGGACCTGTGGCTGGGTAGGGGCTGGCCCACCATGTACAAGAGCAGCTCTGTTTTGTTTTCTATTTCCCCATAAAGTTCCACATGTCCAGAGAAGCTGCGTGGATGAACACTTCGGAGACCACTGTCCTTGCACCTGTGGGTCCAGGCTGGGCCTGGTATCAGTCATGTGGGTCCTAGAATACATGACACGTGTGGACGGAGATGTGATGAAGCCAGAGGTGGAGGGAGGGAGCTGTCCCAGGACACTGCTATGGAGAGCCAGGTGCTTCCCTGGGCACAGCAAAGCTTGTGCCCTGCTCCTCAAGGGGGTTGGGAGCTCTAGGAACTTTGGGAGCAGTGGCAGAAAGGGCACTGAAGGGACAGCCTCTGGCTGTAATCCTCCTTCCAGCCAGAGGCGCACAGAGAAGATCCGGCCCATTGTACTCACAGGAGTGGAGTTTGAAGAGGAGCTTGACAGTGTAATCGTACAGATGACTGCAGTCCAGTATGACCTGGATCAGCGGGGCGAGCCGGCACTGCCCGGTTGCCGTCACGGACACCGAGCGGGACATGTCCAGGGAATTGAACACTAGGGAATAAACGGGGACACAGGCAGTAGGGGATAAGAAACTGCAGGTGACCTTCTCAGAGGGGCACAAGACAGGGGTCTGACACATGCCAAGGACCCGCTCTGTGCATATGCTATGTCATCGGACCGCAGTTACCCCTTACAACACTCCCGTGGGACAGGTACACATGGGAGGAAACAGAGTGAGTCCCCGGAAGGCAATCACATGGGGAAAATAGCAAACATTAATCAGGACACGAAGGAGGGAATAATTCAGCCCTGGCTTCCTGGAGGCTTGCCACAGGGTCTTGGGACACCAAAAAGGGACACATGCAGGAGCCCTGGGTACACAGGGCTGAGGATGAGCCATCAGGATCAAAGGCTGCTGTCGGTCCCTGGGGGGCAGGTCAGCTGAAGTGCTGCCCTCCACTCTCTCGAGCTCCAGACAGCACGTTGCTCCCTCCCTGTCTTGCTCCACAGACCCCTCCACGTTACCCTCTGCTCCCTTGTTCTTTGTTTTTTTTTAAAGATTTTATTTATTTATTTGACAGAGAGAGAGACAGCAAGAGAGGGAACACAAGCAGGGGGAGTGGGAGAGGGAGAAGCAGGCTTCCCACGGAGCAGGGAGCCCGATGTGGGGCTCGTTCCCAGGACCCTGGGATCATGACCTGAGCCGAAGGCAGACGCTTAATGACTGAGCCACCCAGGTGCCTTTTTAAAATTTATTTTAGGGAGAGAGAGAGAACACAAGCAGGAGGGGCAGAGAGAGAGAGGGAGAGAGAATCCCAAGCAGACTCCATGCAAAGCGCAGAGCCTGATGTGGGGCTCGATCCTATGACCCTGAGATCACTGAAACCAAGAGTTGGATGCTCAACTGACTGCGCCATCCAGGCGCCCCATACCCCTTGTTCTTAAACCAAGCAACCAGATGCCTGGCCGTGGACACCCAGTGCACAACACTGGCCAGAGCCGAACTCCTTCCTGCAGTGGCTGCCCACCACCTGCAGAGACTCCACCATGGCCAGCATCGAGAAACATCAGTGAGCCCGACTGCCCCAGAGGAAAGCCCAGAGCAGCTGTGCTCAGCCTTCCCTCACTGCACGATTCCCTGTTAACTGGCTTACTCTGGCAGCTGAAAAAAAAAAAAAATCCCAAACAGTTCTAATGAAAAGGCAGCTTTTCTTTTTGACACAAATTAAAAGCAGCTGTCACTGCAAGGCGGCCATCCTCAAGTTCACGGACTTCCTTGGGCTCCACTCTAGCAAGGGATCACAGACCGCTCCATCTTCCAGCCCGCCCGCCACTTGCCAGGAATGCCCCTTGGCATCCGGTAATATCTAGAGCAGTGTGACCGGGGACATGTTACTCAACCTCTCTGTGCCTCCAGATGGTCTTCGGTAAAATGCAGGGGCTTCTAAGAGCACGTACCTCGAAAGGGTCTTGTGCGTATTCAAGGACAGGGTCGTGTAAAGTGCGGAGCACTGCAGTGATTCTCGGTGTTGGCTTTGAGATTGATTAGCATCACTTGGGAAAATTCAAAATCTAATGTTTCCCAGCAACTCCCCTACCTCCCATTCTGTTTTAGTTGGTCTGGGGTAGGGTTGGGGCACTGGTAGGTTTCAAAAGCCCCCCAGGTGATTCTAACATGCAGCTAGGGTTGAGAGCTGGATTTCCTGGCTGAGTGGTTCTCGTGAAGCAGAATCAGTCGGTAGCACTGTGCAAAAGAATTCTGTGATGGCGTAAGTGTCCCTATGAGCCATTCAGTAGGGCAGCCACATGGGGCTACCGGGTGCCTGAAATATGGCTAGTGCAACCGAGGACCTGACTTTTTAATGTTATTTAATTATAACTTATTTAAATAGATGTAATCTAATTAATGTAATTTAAATTAATTTAAATAGGCACTACCCATTGGACAGTGGCTACCATATTGGACAGTATAGACCTGGCTGGGGAGGGAGTAGGCGGCTAAAACGCAGATGGCTGGGCCCCACCCTCAGAGATTCAGATTCAGTAGGTCTAGGGTGGCACCAGGGGCTTTGCATTTCTAACAAGTTCTCAGGAGATGCTGATGGTGCTGGTCCAGAGGACCACACTTGGAGAACCGTTGCAAGCGCTGGAAATAAATGTTAACTGTGACTGGCCCACGTTTCCCACAGGGGAAAACCAGGGGCACCTGAGGGTACTGGTTGGCACCTTGCAGGGTCACAGACTAGGACTCAGAAGCTGGAGGGATTTCTTCCAATGCCAGTTCCCCTGGTTTTTGCAGCATACAGTAGGGAACTGGGGACGGGATAGGGAGCGGGGGAGATGAGTGGTACAGGGCTCTTGGTTCCGAATCAGTGCGCGCTCAGGGGCAAGAAAGCCACCACCATTTGACCATGTTGGGGTTTGTGCCAAGACTTGGGGCAGCTGCTCCCCCCTAGGAAACTCAAAGTGGCTGATTCACTCCTGACAGTCCCACAGCATTGGGCTGGATATTGATACCGTTTTATGAGCACTGATCCCCTGTCCTTTCCTCACTGCTGTTTATCTGAAGCACGCATTCTTGAATTTTGTTGAACACTGGGCTAGAATGGAGGGAAGTACTCAAAGATGAGTAGGACATGGTTCCAGATTCCAGGGAGGAGCTCAGCATCCAGTGGTATTAATACAAGTGATCAACACGTATAAAAACAGCCAGGGAGGGGTGTCTGGTTGGCTCAGTCGGTTGAGCGTCCAACTCTTGGTTTCGACTCAGGTCATGATCTCGTGGGTCGTAGCATCGAGCCCCAAGTTGCGCTCCACGCTCAGCAGGGAGTCTGCTTGAGATTCTCTCTCTCCCTCTCCCTCTGCCCTTCCCACTCATGCTCTCTCTCTAATAAATAAATAAATCTTTAACAAAATAAAAAATATTTTAAAAAAATGCATCCATACTATTTCTCCTACCTGGCTGGGAACACCTTAGGGCAGGGATTCTATTTTGTGTTTCACTTTTACTTCTCTACTGACCTTCTTCTTTCTCCTGCAAATCACGGTTCCCAACTGGTTGTGGTGATCCTCTCACACATCCAGCACTAAACTGATTGGTCGAAGTACGAAGGCATTTGCCACCCTGGCCCAGCCCTGGCCCAGCGTTGGCTGGTATCAGGCCAGTTGTAAGTAGCTGCTTACATGCCAAAGGAAGGTATAATTCAGGGGGAGAGAGTGTCTGTTTTTCCTGAGAAAATCAGAGCCCCAAGAGTGGGTCCCACATGTCCAAATGCTGAGAAGGTCATCAAGCTTGTGCATAAATACTCTTAGCTTGGAATCCACTCTTTCACGGAGCTGGGCACTTGTTGTGGAGCATCTTGAATCTTAGGAAATGGGCTTTTCTGTTCCCCAGGAGAGAAGGGGGAGTCATGCTGGCAGGTGTGGGAAGAAGGGACAGCAAAGAGAAGGGAACGGACTGCTTCCTTCCTGATTCCAGTCAGGGAAGTGTTGGGGGCTGACAGCCGGGAGGCACCAGAACTCTCAGCGAAGGGAGCCTGGAAGGGCGGCAAATTCTCCTTGCTAGTGGAAAGGGGCTTCGTGGGCCTCTCACGTGGACTTGGCCAACAACTCAACTTGACCAGCTGGTCGACCCTGGCTGCCGACCAAAGAGCACACAGCAGCCCCTCCTCCTGAGCAGCAATCCATCCCGAGTGCCAACCCAGCTGAGTGGCAGACAAAGCACTGGCCAGCTCGGGGGCCACAGTCCGAAGGTTATCAAAGAGGTCAGACCCGTCTTCGGGCTCTGGGAGGCCCGCAGGGTGGGGAGCATGGTCATTCTGCTCAGAATGAAATCACCCATGAGCTCCGGCCCCTCCCTGCACAGGGACGAGGAAAGCAGAGATAGGGTATGGATATTCCCATTTCCTGACATGTGCTGCATAACCTCGTAGGGAGAAGGGGGCTAGGACGGCTGGTCTAAGCCGGGAACAAAGCTCAGAATTAGGCAATTCCCATGACAGCTTGGGCCAGATGGGAGGGAGAGACTCACCAGTTTGGAAGAGATTAAGTTCACACTCCAGGTAGTCAAACATCTCCACTGTTAGCTGGAAACTGGACACAAGAGGAGAGAGAGCTTATATTCCAGAGCCTGAGGCCAGTGCTTCACCTGTCCCCTCCCCCCTGCTCTGTGTTGCTGTCTCTGTCCCCAATGCATACGTGCGTGCACACACAGAGACACGCCCACCCCCACCCCCAATCCTTAGCCCCCACCCACGTGGGTCTTAAGGCCATTTGAAGATCAAGCAGGGTGAATTCCACAGTGATGGTGGCAGAGGGGAGGGCAGGTGCCATGCTGGGTGGGGAGGGCAGCGGGTGACACCGAGACTCGAACCCTGGGCAGCCTGGAAGGATTCTGGATGAGGCACCAACACTAAGTGGCCCCACCCCAGCCACTGCCCTTGCCCATCAGGCCCTGTGTGACAACATCGAGCTTTCTTCCCTGCTGGGTCCCCAGCATGAGGACGGCCACTCACAAGTTGTTAACGTCGCTCTCTCCAGCCTCATCCAGCTGCCGGTCGCTCATCTGAAGGTTGCCTGGGAACCTGGGATTCTGGAAAGGGAGGCAGAGGATGGCAGTCGGGACAGGGCACCTCAACTAAGCTGACATCGGGCAGCAGCAGGCTTGATTCTGCTCGTGCAGCTACCCACACCCTTTGTGGGGGATGTGTCAATGCACACAGACCCCCCCTGACCAGCTCACAGCAGAGAATATCCACTACCCATCATCAGAGGTGAAGGCTCCATCCCGTATCTGGGAGCCAGGACAGGGCTCTACCCTAACAGTTCATATCCTGGAACATTCTTCTAAAGATGCTCTCTGGCCCTCCAGTGAGGCCCAGTGTGACAGTGGCCGGCCCTCGACCATCCATGAGGCGCAGATAGTCCCGCATATATGTATCCCCAGTACATTCTGAACCCCACCCATGCTTCCCTCTGTCCTTCGGCCGCTTCCCGAAGCTGCCATTGTGAGTTCGGGGAAGGCAAACCCATTTTCATATTGGCATTATCTCTTCCCCAGTGTGGCCTGCCTGGAGTGGTTGGAACACAAGGCAAAGGGAAAGGTGCAGACGGGCACTGATGGGTGGCCAGTTAAGGGGGTCTCAATTCCACGGAGAATACTTTAGGCTCTGAAGACATAAATCCTCCACTGCACACCTCCTGGCTCTTCCCTCTGCTCTGGCCGCCCCCTCCAGCCCTCAGGCTCACCCCCAGGGCTCCTCTGTCTCAGAGCCGGCCAGTTCCTTGAGCGCCCCCTTCTGGCCGTATTTAACCTCGCTCAGTCTGGACAGACACCTGTTCTTGTGTCCTTCGCCCTTCCTGCTGCCTGTTCTTCCACCACACTGCTGTCAAACCCCGGTGAGCCTGGGTCTTTGTTCGAGGACCAGCTGCCAACATCCCTAGAGAAGGACTCACAGCTGGAGTCCCCTTTAATCATGTTCTCCAACCTTAGTGCCCCTTCCTGGTCCTGGCTACCGGCCCGGCTCCTCACCGCCCTGGTCCGTGCCTTCCTCCTTACATCTCTGGGTCTCCCTCAGCATCTTGCTTCCCACTCCCTCCCCCGTTTTGAATGTGCCAGCTATCCTTCCGTTCCTCCTGCTTCAAAAGAGGAAGGGCCAGCCTCTCTCCTGACTCGGGATCAGCCCTCCTTGTGCGCTATTTGATCAGATCTAGGTTCTGGTTCATTCTGTCCCTCATGGAAGGAGTCCTGATTGAGCACCTGTTCTGCGCTAGATGCTGGACAGGGCACAGGGCACAGGACAAAGGACACGAGGAGACACACACACCTGTCCTCTGTCCTCCCGGAGCTCGGAGTCCAAAGCGCCCGTGGCCTCACTTGCTTCCCTGGGCTCCTGCACTTCTTGCAATCGCCCAGCTTGTTCCCACGGGCCCCACATCTTCGTAGCTGTTGCCCCCCACCCCTCCTGCCAGTCTTCAGAGCCCCCACCACTCTGGCCTGTCCCGGGGACCACCGTCCTAATCCGGCTCTCACCGTCTTCCACTCTTAGTGGGATGGTCTCACACAGCTGCCCGGTCACCCCCTCCCCACTCTCCACCTGCCTGTTCCTCACACTGAGGAGGATGTGTGGCCTGTTCCTCAGGAACCCAAGATTGTGCTGGGCCTCAAGCCCTTCTGCCTGCAGCTGACCCTCTGCCTGGCACGGCCGCCCTGCCCTTCTTCAGTGGCCTTTCCTCTACCCGCAAGGTGGCAGACAAGACTCTGGGGGCCTGGGGGAGGTGTGAGTGTATTCCCTGGGAGGGAGGGAGGGCAGGAAACGAACTGTGGGGCCAGAGGGCAGACCGGCAGACTGTATGTCCAACACCAGCTGCCCCTCCGGTTCGACACGCTGTCTTGACAACGTGATTTCGACATTCCACCTTGGCTGGTGTGGTCCCTGTCCCACCCCCTTGAATCCAGGGACCCCTGTGACTGCCTCAGCCCATATAGGACAGTGGAAGGGATGCTCTGTGACTTCGAGGCTGAGTCTTATAAACGCCACGCACTTCTACCTTGTTCTCTTGGGAAACTGGCCGGGCTGCAAGGGAGTCTTCACAAGCACTGAGACTTCGTGAGGAGGGAGACGCCAGGCCACGTCCACACTGTCCCAGCTCCAGCCAGCAGCGGACCGGGACCGCATGGGGGACCTGCAGCCTGCAACTGCCCAGCCCAACCCTTCTGGAACATCCGACCCACAGAAAGCGTGAGAGATGATAAAAGGCTGCTCGTGTTTCAGCCACTGAGCTGGGGGTGAGCTCAGGTGTTCTGCCTTTGAGAAGCCTACCTGGGTGGCTGGTGTCTGGCACGGTACCCCATTACAAGCTCCTGTACCATCTTGTGCATCTCTCAGTTCCGGTCCTCACTGGACTTGCCTGGCTTGTCTCCCAAGCAAATACGACTCCTGGAGGCCGGGCCAAAGTCCCTTCACCTTTCTCTCTTCAGAACCTAACCCAGTTCTGGGCTGCGGCAAGCACCCGGCTCCACTGAGCGGCAGGGGCTTTTTTGCCCTACAGGCCTGGGTTCAAGTCCCACCTCATCGCCGAGGAGCTGCATGACAAGGCAAGACACTCAAGCACGCTCCCAGTTTCATTTTCCTAGGCTATAAGAATACCGCCTTCTTAGGGTCGCCGCGAGAATTAACCAGGAATGGCTGGCACAGCAGGGTGGGTTCCGTGAATCAGAGCCCCCCCTTCCCCCGAGTCCATAAGAGGTAAATCTCCTCCCTTCCTCATTTCCAATGCCAGCTCCCCGCTCTGCTTCCAGGCCATTCCTGCCCACCCCTGCTCCATCCACACCCTCCCTCCACCATCCGCCTCGATCCGCTTCCTTCATCTTCCCCTTCCATGCCATGGCCCCGCATCATCTCAGAAGGCCTCTGGCTCCTTCTACAGGCTCGTGGGACTGCTGCGCACTGTGACTCGGTGCCGCAGGTACGTAAGCCTCCTCCCCCTGACGGACCCGGGCACTCCTGCCGAGCAGACCCTTTCTACGTATCCTTACGTGCCACCGGGTTACCCAGCATGACGGTTTTACCTGCACTCAGTGCATTAGAAAGACCGTCTAAGGCCACAGATGGATGCAAAGAAGGTTCTGTGTGGGAACTCACTACGTAAAAGGAAGGGACTGTTTTTATTCACAGTCAAGGCAGTGCTTCTGAAACATTTTCCTAAGGCAGCCTAGTGGATAGGGTCCTCTCTGCAAGATGGGGAATAAAAAGGTGTGGAAAATGTGGGCCAGAATCCCAGTCCTGAGTCCCACTGCAGCCATCCTATAAAATACCTTCCTCTCACTGGATGTGGTGTAAACGCTCCCTGAGGGGCCCGGGCCACCTTATTCCCGGAAGGACCTGAGAGTTTGGCCCACAGAGGTGGCCGGGGTGGGGAGGTTGTGGGGGGGAGGGATGGAGGTGGGGGGCCTGTATGCAGAACCGTTGGCAGACTCACTTTGGTGTGATATTCCATCTTCGTTCTTAGCAGTCTGAGGTAGATGCTGCAGAGCTGTCCATACCCCTCGCTCAGGTGGCCCTTTCGGGAAAAGAAAAGAAAGCAGGGTATCAATGCTAACATTTGGGGGAGAGACTGACAGCGAGCACTTCTGTTTTCAACAATAGATATATTTTTTTCTGATACTGAAAATAACAAATGGCCATTGTGGAAAATTCTGGAAGATACACAAAAGCAAAGGTACAAACAAATCACCCTTAATCTAAACACCAGACAGAATCATGGCGAACATTCTGGAGTACAAAATGTTATTTTATTTAATCTTTTTTCAATTTAAAGAGACTTTTTTTTAAAAAGTTTTATTATTTAAGTAATCTCTGCACCCAACATGGGGCTCAAATTCATGATCCTGAGAGTAAGAGTCGCATGTTTGGGGCGCTTGGGTGGCTCAGTCGGTTGAGCGTCCAACTCTTGATGCTGGTTCAGGTCATGATCTCGGGGTAGTGGAATCAGTGATCACTGATCACTCACTGCAGAGTCTGCTGGAGATTCTCTCTCTCTCCCTCTGCCCCTCTGTCTGCTTTTGGCTCAGGTCGTGATCCTGGAGTCCCAGGATCGAGCCCCACATCAGGCTCCCTGCTCAATGGGGAGTCTGCTTCTCCCTCCCCCTCTACTCCTCCCCTGCTCGTGCTTGCTCTCTCTCTCTCTCACTCACTCTCTCTCAAATAAATAAAATCTTGAAAAAAAATGAAAAAAATAAATGTTTAATAAATGCATAAAATCTTTAAAAAAAAAAAGTCACAGCTCTTCTGACTGAGCCAGCCAGGTGCACCTAAAATAATGTAGATGTTATTTGTTCGAGCTGTTTTAGGTTCTCAGCAAAATTGAGCAGAAAGTACAGGGATCTCCTATATACCCCCTGTTCCCACGTGTACAAAACTGTCCCCACTGTCAACATCAACACCAGAGTAGGACATTTGTTCCAACTGACAAACCTTCCCTGATACATCATTATTGTCCAAAGTGAAGTTTACCTTAGGAATCACTCTTGGTGTGGTACATTCTATGGGTTTTGACAAATGGATAACACCCTGTACCTAACATTATGGTATCACGCACAATAGTTTCACTGCCTTAAAAATCCTGTGTTCCACCTTTATTTTAAAATATAAAATGGAGTCCATTTTTTAACTTAATATACTTCAATTTTTTTCTCTATCTTCTCAAATTTTCTTCTGTTTCATTATTTAGTGATATTTTTAATGATATTTTTATCGAGTGTATACTGTAATTTATCAAACGAACTCCCGACTGTTGTATGTCTTAGTTACACGCATTTTTTTTTTTAAAGATTTTATTTATTTATTTGACAGAGAGAGAGATAGCGAGAGCAGGAACACAAGCAGGGGGAGTGGGAGAGGGAGAAGCAGGCTTCCTGCTGAGCAGGGAGCCCAACGCGGGGCTCAATCCCAGGACCCCGGGATCATGACCTGAGCCGAAGGCAGACACTTAACAACTGAGCCATCCAGGCGCCCTGCAGGCATGTTTTTCTATTATAAGCTATATTGCAATGAATGTTCTTACCGTATAATCTTAGGTACCAACACGAGAACTTCCTTTGCATGACTTCTAGACAAGGCTTCTGATTTAAGAATTTTAAGTCTCCCACCCTGAGTAATCACAGTCTGGTCATAGGCTATTTCCTTCCTCCTGTCTCTCTATCTAAGTGCAGGAGAGGAAGCACCTCTTCCAGATGGACTCCAGCCGACTGAGAGCAGTTAAGCATTCTACATGGGATGGGGTTGGAAATGGGACAGATCCCAGATCCCAGCTGGGGACAAATAAGCCTTCCCGTGGAATCTGCCCATGCAGTCATGTCCTGGGTGCCTGAGAAGAAGCTGGAATTAGCAGCGTGATGCTTGCAAGTCCCAGGTGCACACAGAAGAGGAGGGGGGGTAGGGGCACAAAGAACCCTTGAGCCAAACAGCTGTGGTTCCCACATGAGCTCTAACTTCTACATCTCTGGGTGCATCTACATCCTCTAGAGTAGAGGAACCCCACTGACACATGCCTCAAAGGGCACCAAAGGGAGTGGGGTCATCAGAGGAGGTTAAAAATATCAATGCCAGAGATTAGACTATTTCCTAATGTATTAGTTTTCTATGAAAAATCGTATTTTATGAATTGTACATTGTACTTGTTCGTCATGGAAAAATTAGAAAGTAGCGGAGAGCAGACAAAGTGAAACTATGGTTATCATCGAAGACAACTGTATTTCACATGAAAAGGCACCAGGATCAAAAAGCAAAAGATGAATCGGTCATAGACTTCAATGTAAAACGTAAAACTATAAAAGTCATAGGAGGTAACAGATGACCTTGGGTACAGCAATGACTTTTTAGATAGAACACCAGAGTCACGCTCCATGAAAGAAATAATTGATCATCAAGCTGGACTTCATTAAAATAAAAAAAAAGTCTGGAAAAATCACTGTCAAGAGAATGAGAACCCACAAACTGGGACACATCTGATAAAGGACTGTTATGCGAAACATATAAAGTACTCTTAAAACTCAACAACAGGGGTGCCTGGGTGGCTCAGCCATTAAGTGTCTGCCTTCGGCTCAGGTCATGATCCCAGGGTCCTGGGATCAAGCCCCACATCGGGCTCCCTGCTCCGCGGGAAGCCTGCTTCTCCCTCTCCCACTCCCCCTGCTTGTGTTCCCTCTCTCTCTATGTCTCTGTCTGTCAAATAGATAAATAAAATCTTAAAAAAAATAAAACTCAACAATAAGAAGATAAACAGCCTGATTAAAGAATGGGCCAAAGACCTTAACAGACACCTCTCCAAAGAAGATAGCAAATGAATGTATGAAGAGATGTTCCCCCTCGTATGTTACCAGGAAACACAAATTAAAACAACACTGAGATACCAGTACACACTTGTGAGAATGGGCAAAATCCAGAATACGGATAACACCAAATTCCGTGAGGATGTGGGCCACAGGACCTCTTGCTCATTGCTCGGTGGGAATGTAGAATGGTGCAGCCACTTTTGAAGATTTTATTTATTTATTTGACAGAGAGAGACACAGCAAGAGAGGAACACAAGCAGGGGAAGCGGGAGAGGGAGAAGGAGGCTTCCCGTGGAGCAGGGAGCCCGATGCGGGGCTCGATCCCAGGACCCTGGGATCATGACCTGAGCTGAAGGCAGACACTTATCAGCTGAGCCACCCAGGCGCCCCTAATGCAGCCACTTTTGAAGACGGTTTGGCAGTTTCTTATAAAACTAAACTTACTCTTACCACACAAATCAGCAATGGCACTCCTTGGCTTTTACCCAAAGGAGTTGAAAACTTATGTCCAAACAAAACCTGTTCATGGGTATTTATGGCAGACTTATTTATAACTGCCAAAACGTGGAAGCAACCAAGACATTCCTTAGTTGGTGAATGGATAAACTGTGGTACAGACAATGGGATATTACCGAGCACTAAAAGTGAAATGAGCTATCAAGCCCTGAAAAGACATGGAAGAACCTTAACTGCATGTTATTAAGGGAAAGAAGCCAATCTGAAAAGGCTTCTGTATGATTCCACTGTACGATTATGATTATGTACTGTATGATTCCAATTCCATGACATTCTGGAAAAGGCAAAACTGTGGAGACAGTAAAAAGACCAGTGGTTGCCAAGGGCTGGGGGAGGTGGGGAGGGATGAATAGGTGGGGCACGGAGGATGTTTGAAGCCAGTGCAACTCTCCTGTGTGGTACCACTGTGATGGGTACATGTCCGGATACATTTGTCCAAAGCCACAGAATATACAAGGCCCCAACACCACAAGTGAACTATAATGCAAACTACAGACTTCAGGTGATTATGATGTTATCAGGGAAGGTGCATCACTTGTAACCAATGTACTATGTTGGCAGGGGATGTTCATAAAGGGGGACACTACACGTGTTTGGAGGCAGGGGGTATATGGGAAATCTCCATACTTCCTGCTCAATTTTGCTGTGAATCTAAAATTTGCCCTAAAAAAAAATAAGGGGGTCCCTGGGTGGCTCAGTCAGTTAAGTGGCCGACTCTTGATTTAGGCTCAGGTCATGATCTCAGGGTCCTGGGATCGAGCCCTGAGTTGGGCTTCGTACTCAGTGAGGAGTCTGCCTGAGATTCTCACTCTCTCCCTCTGCCCCTCCCCCCACTGAGATGTGCATGCTTTCTCTCTCTCTCTCTCTAATAAATAAATAAATCTTTAAAAAAATTAGGTCTTAATTAAAAAAAAAAAGTAAAAAGGTTTCTAATATCCAAAAACTCTCAGCCACATGGAAGAGAACACTACATAGGAAGCAAGGCCTAAAGGAATTCCAGTTTGGATAACAAGTCAGGCTAGGTATCTGGGTTGACCTTCCCATTGAAAACTACTAAAATATTGGGTAAAATATTTAAAACTTCTTTTTGAAGGCATTAATGAACTAATGAGAGGCCAAGGAATCCTCAGGCCAGGGACTGAGTCCATACAGGTACCAGGTGAATAAGTGGAATGCTGGGGTGATGGAGTTGGTGGAGACAGGGGTTTTGCCACACCACGTGAACCAGGTGGTGAATAGGAGGCAGGGCTCTGGCCTGCCCACGTTGAAGAGTCTGGTGGAAGAGGCAAAGACTGCTTCCCTGGGGTAGAGGAACCAAGGGTGAACTGGAAATAACGTAGATCCCAGCACTCCTGCACCAAAAGAGTCCTCCCTGAGGACCTCAAACCACTGTTATGATCAGAGGGAGGGAAAAAAAACTTCTGGGAATTGGACCCAGGAGCCAGAGCTCAAGGGGCTCTGCCTGGAATTCACAAAGCCTTAAATTGAGAATTTAATTTAGAGAGATCTCAATGGAAGGAAATGCCCGTTCTCTCTGGAGGAACCTGACTTGAAAGAGTTCCCACAAATACGATTCCCAGGAAAATGAGCAATGCACAGTAAAAAATAAGCACAAAAAGAAACTCCACAGCATGAAAAACATTCATCAAAAACAACGGATGGCAGGAACAGATCTCGAGGGGCTTTAGATAACGGAAGTATAAGAAGTGATATATGAGGTCACTGTCTAATTTGTCTAAGTAAATAAGAGGCTGTTTCAAAATACGTAAGAAATCATAAAAAATGACAAGAAATCGGGCGCCTGGGTGGCTCAGTTGGTTAAGTGACTGCCTTCGGCTCAGGTCATGGTCCTGGAGTCCCAGGATCGAGTCCCGCATCGGGCTCCCTGCTCAGCAGGGAGTCTGCTTCTCCCTCTCCCGCTCCCCCCTCTTGTGCTCTTTCTCTCTCTCACTCTCTCTCTCAAATAAATAAATAAAATCTTAAAAAAAAAAAAAAGACAAGAAATCATAAAAAATGACAAGCAGATTTGGGGGAAAAAAAAGAACTCCAAGAAATAAAAGCTAGACTAAAATTATAAATCTTATGAAGAGGTTTAACAACAGATTAGACCCAGCTGAAAAGGGAACAACAAATGAACTGAAAGCTAGATTTACTGAAATTACCCAGAATGCTGTAACGAGGCAAACAGGGAGAAAACGATGAAACAGGGGTTTAAAGACATGGGGTGAATGGGGCACTTGGCTGGCTTAGTCGGTGGAGCATGAAACTCTTGATCTCAGGGTCATGAGCTCAAGCCCCATGTTGGACATAGAGCTTAAAAAAAAAAAAAAAAAAGGCACTGGGGTATAGAGTGGGAAAGACTGACATAACCAAAGTCTCAGGGGTAAATATGGAGTGGAGTAAAGGTGATAGTTGAAGAGACAGAGAATTTTTTGTAACTGATAAAAGATATTAACCCACAGATTCAAGAAGTCTAAAGAATCCCAAATAAATTTGCACCTATTCGTAGTAAGGTCTTAAAATGGTCAGAGGAAAACCAGATTTGCTTTTAAGAAGGGACAATGACTCTGATAGCCAGCTTCATGGAAATGATGGCATCCAGAAGTCAGTGGAAGGATATCTTGAATAATATCATCCATGTGCTGAGAGAAAATAACTGTCACCCAGAATAACTGTCACCCAGAGAGAGTATCTTCCACATAGGAGAGTGAAATAAAGACGTTCCCAAACAAGTAAAAGCGGTTATTTGCCACCATGAGATTCTCACTAAAGGAAATAATTCAGGCAGAAAAAAAAGTGACCCCATATGTTAGAATGCAAATGTAAAGAAAGAAAGAGGACAGAATAAAACAATTAAAATAAAATATCTTATAGTCTAAAAAGAAAAACAAAACCAAAATTACAATACATGACAACAATAACATACAAGTTTAGAAGAGGGCATGGAGTGAAAATATTCTAAGGTCTTTGTGTTATAGAGGAAACAGCTAAAGACATGAATTTTAGCTCTTGATAAACTAAACTTGCATTTTGTAATTATTGGATAACATACCAAAGGGTAAGAAATAAAAGCAGAGTTAAAAAAAAATCTCCTAACTAGTAATAAGGGGAGAATGGGATGAGAAAAAAAATACCCAATCAATCCAAAGAAGACAAGGAATGAAGAAAAATGGAAACAAGACAGAAGGGGCAAAGAGAAAGCACAAACTAAGATGGAAGGTATAAATCTAAAAATATTTTGCATTATAATAAACATAAATGGGGTAAATGTACAGCTAAAAGACAAAGACTGCCATCTTGACGAAAAACAACAACAAAATCCAACTAAATGCTATTTATAAGGGACTTTTCTAAGACACAGAATATAGAAAAGTCAAAAGTAAAAGGGTGGAAAAAGATACACCAGGCAAATTCTAACAAAAAAGAAGAAGACCCAAGCTTTCCATGTTTTGAGATATAACTGAAAGCTCTCCAACATGCACCTGGGAGGTTTGGGAACAACTCTCAGCTTTGTTCAGACCAACTAGCCTGTGATGTAGGAAAAGCTGCTTCCCTCTCTGGGCCTGTATTCTCATCAGCACTGGGTGGACTGGATGCCACAATTGCTAACATTCTGTGAGTAGAAGTAAGAATTTGAAGGAAAGGGCCAGAGCTCTCAACCAGTGGGGGCAAACAGACGTATCAGAATCAACCCAAGAAAGTCTTCAAAATGCAGATTATGCACCATCAATACACATACTCCTTGGACAACAGAATCTAGAGGGATCCTGGTGTGTGTATAAAAACCTTCTTTTCCAATTGATTCCAATACCACCACCTACCTCCTCCCCCATCCTAAGGCACTGAGAATCTCTAGATTCCCAGGGAAGAAGGGAAAGAAAAGGTACTGGCATTAAGAATTGGGAATGCTAGTTCTCAATGTACTGTGACCCACATGGGACCAGCAGAAGGAAAGACACAGGAATTGTGGCAAAGTCACTGCTGAGGGATCCAATGCCCAGAGAGCGTTACGATGTGAGGTTCCATTGGCAGGAGAAACTCCCAGGCCCTAGAACTTCCCTACAGCTTTAGGGTCCCCAGGTAAGACCGTGGATATCATGGTACTATTTGGGGCAATTGCTGACCCCTCCTTGATGGTCATGAGAGAAATCCTAAGCAAGTTGAAAGAGAGGAATTCATTCCGTTCCACAGTCCTTGTTCTGTGGCCTCTGGGGAAGGAGAAGCAGGTGCAGGTGGCCCCCGGGTGCATCTCCAAACTCACCCACATCCTGCTCATGTCACTCAATTCATTTTTGTATCTCAGGGAGTCCTTCAGGACCTGGAGAGGGAAGAGAAGAGCTGATGAGAGAAGAGAAGGCAAGGAGACAGAGGATGGTGTAAGATGGGGCTGGGGTGGGCAGAGAGGCTGACAGACAGACAAGTCTACCTCCAACCAGCAACCTAAAGGCCAGGAGAAGGGGGCAGCTGCCCCCCCCAGTGGCGAAGTGGACAGTGCCCCTTTCCCCCAGGCGATCCCACTTTCCCCACAAGGGTCCCCAGCCCCCTGGCCAGCCCCTGCAGTCCCAGGAACTCACGTTCGGGTGTCCATCTCGGAGGAGTTTGTGAAACACGTGGCAGAACTTCCAGCAAAGGACAGCATTGCTAGAGAGGGGTAGCCGGTTGACAACAGACCAAAAGGTCTGTGCCCCTTTCTCATGGTGGGTGCCCAGTATGCATGGTGGGAGGGGGTCATGGAAAACAAAGGCATGGATGGGCCTTTTCCAGTTTGTACAAGAGTGCTCTGGGCCAGTGGCGGTCCTGGTTTACCTTTAGCAGGAAGATGCTTTGGTTGAAAGAAGGGCTTCGCTGTGGGAGGAAGACTCTGCCCTTCCCCTGGGTTTGGCTGAGGGTGTGATGGGGCCTTTCGGGGAATAATAACAGCTCACATTTTAGCAATACATTACAGTGTCTCAAAGTTCTTTCTTATCCAGTATTCAGAAGTGAGGGCAGGCTTCAGCTCTTCATCAGGGGCCCTGGCCCTGGTGGGGACACCTCGGCTCCTCTTCCAAGCAGCACCTGACTCCTTTCCATACAGGCACTCTGCTGTTTTCTGTGCTTTATTTCCTTATTGAAGTATAGTCGGCACCCAATGTACATTCATTTCAGGTATCCGACATAGCGATCAGACAACTTCACATATAGCTACGGTCTGTCACCAGATGACACCATTACAATACCATTGACTATATTCTCGATGCTGTACCTTGCATCCCCCCTGATTTAGTCATTCCATAACTGGAAGCATTTCCCCAAAACTTAAAATGACTCTTATACACCCCCCTTTCCATAAACCTTCTTGGTTTATGCTTCTTGGTGCATGCATTTCCCTATACCTTGAACTCGCTGTATATGGAATCCTGGGACCACATCCACCCGAAATCCAATTTCAAATGCACCCACAGACTCCCTGCCACAACCTGCATGTAATAAACGTCCATCTGGTCTAGCGTGATTTTAAGTTAGCGCTTATATGGGCCTCACACACCCAGCAACTGGGCACCATCAACTCCAAGTGTAGGTCTTTTCCCAGAACTACAGGCTTCTTTGTCAAGGCTCAGGTAAGAAACGGGGTGCCACGCAGGACAGAAAGACCTGCCTCGGGCCAGAAACTCTATGATTCATCCAGAACACATGTTGTTTTGCTTCTGAGCTGGAAGGTATCAACAAGTTCCTTCCCCAAACTGAAATTTGCATTTCGAGGGGGGTGGGCTTGAACACAGACTTCTGGGTCTGGAAGCTGATGTCAGCTTTTGGTCTTAGAGGGGTTTCTGAAATAACTACAGTTTCCCTTAAAGCACAGTCCCCTCAGGCTAGATGGAAGCCAAGAGGAGAGCTGGACAGCTTGCAACCCCTCTCACAGGCTGACTTCTCACGGCAGACTGTGGTTACTTTACCGGAAGCGGGAGCAGGTGTAGAGCTAGCCAGGCACCCCGACTTTGAGAGGCAAGGAGACCTTTCTGTCCTTTGATTTCATAAGCATTTTAATGCACCCACTGCGTGTCAGGCAGGCACTCAGGGATATAAAAAAAATAAATAAAACTCCGTCCCTAGCCCTCTGGGAGTGGATACACGGGGGGGGGGGGGGGGGGGGGGGGGAGGGGGGCAGTTAGACACCCAGGATAAATGGCTGTCTGAACAGCACTTCTGACATCAGATTTCCAAATGCTTATTCAGCTGGGATTGAGAGGGGCTGACGGTCTCCAAAAAAATCAATAAAGAATAAATGTTTTGCGGTATCTTTAGGCTTTAAAACCCTACTCTTTGGAGTAGAGCCTTTTAACATTTATCCACCTCTTAGAAATGGTGAAGCAGAGAAACTCACGGAAGGTGAGAGTGGGAATGTTAGACCTTTGAAATCTTCTTCAGCCAAGTCTTTCATTTGACAGACAAGGAGACGAAGGCTCACGGAGGCCCCACTGGACCCACTCAAGGCTCCAGAGCGAGCCAGACTGCTGCCAAGGTGGGATTCCAGAACCTCCTTGTGGTGCCCCTTCCATCACCCCGGGTAGCCTCCCTGGAAGGCTGTGATGTGGCCCAAGCACACTGACCTCGACAACAGTCTCTTATTTCATATCTCAATCGGACGGATCAGTATTCTTAGCAGATGGGGGTCAGGACCAGGTCATTCCCCCTGAGAAAGTCATCGGGGCTTTTCTTGACTTGGTAAAGCAAGGGGATTGTGCCTTTCTGGGGATAAAAGGGCAAGGTCTAACTAGGCTCACGGTCAGTCCAGGTTTCTGGGGTACCTGGGAGACGTTCTAGAGCCCCCAGCCTGCAGCAAAGCCCTAAAGTCCAACCAAAGTATCTTCCCACCAAAGACAAGCTGCTTACCCACCAGTAAAGAGCAGTACGTGCTGTTAGCAATGCTTCCCAATGGGCTGCTATGGGCTAGGCATCCTGCTGGAGGGGCAGGGCTCCTCTGGCCACCGTACCCGGAGGGTCTCCTCCAGGGGCTGAGGTGGGATGGCTTCCACAGGAGCTGTTCTGACCCGGCTGTTACTGCCACCACGAGAAGCCCAGCCTCCACTTGCCCCGGGCTGTACCCTGCTCCTCCCCGGCACACACACAAACAATGGCTTCGCCCCACTCACGCAGCCTTGCCTTTGGAACTTTGGGGGTCAGCCCTCCAGCTCTTGGGCTCTATCCGTCAAGGGCAGATCCCAAGGGATCCAACAGCCAGCATGCAGCCTGCACTTCCCTCCAAAGCCACACCCCACGAGGGTGGCTGCCTGGGGCCAAACTTGGCATGGGGGTGGGGGCGGGAGTAGCGGGGTGGTGGTGAAAACCTCCAAGCCACCAGTTCCCTATGCTGCCGTGAGGTTCTTGTCTTCTGCCCGGCTGACTGTGCGTGAACCAGCTCAAACTGGTGGATCTTATTTCCATGGCTGCCCATCTCCCCCCCAGCCCCCCGGGGCATAAGGCAGCAGAGACCTTTGGCTTTTTGGCTTTCGAGCCCAGAGAAGAGGAGATGATCATGTTCCCAGCGGGTGGTCCGTGTGGTCCCTATGGGCCAAGTGCAGGGTCTGGAGCGCTTTGACAATCGCTCCTGTGCCCCCAGGAAATCTCTCAAAGGGAAGTCCTACGAGGGGCGGGGTCCTTGGTAAGCCGTAAAGAGTTGAGCTAGGAGGTGGCTTTGGTCCCTTCACCCTGATGAACTGTGGTCTCAAAGGCCAGCTGCTGCCCACTGAGGCAGCTTAAACCCTGCAGGAGGCCTGGACAGTGGAGGGGTTCCCCTTCCTGCAGCTGAGCAAGGACACCTCGCCCTGACCTCAGCCCCCGCAATTTGACCCGCCTCAGGGTTGGTCTTCCAAGCAACATCCAAAAGGATATTTCTGGCGTGTTTTTCCTTTACAGCCACTTCCTGCGTATTAATGGCCTTATTGATGCTGACAGTCTGAAAAACAAGAGGAAGGGGGAGGGGAACGGAGGCTGAGATGAATACGCTCCTAGTGTCTGAGACCCTCCCAGGCACCCCACCCCTTTCTCTCCCTGCAATGACTCCTCCCCAGCTCCCCCAGGACCCCTGTGCCCCATGGTCCCTGTACAGGGCCCCCAGTGGGGGGCAGAGGTGGGCAGCGCTCCCAGGCCAGCTGGCCCAGGCTGTCCTAAGGCAGCGGGCTTTGCTGCCTGGCATTGGCTGTGCCCAGCTGCTGTGCCTGCCTGCCACTCATTCACTTGGCACAACAACATGGCAATTAAAGCCTGCACAAAGGGATGCTTTTCATCCCCCAGGGAAACATTATTTCTCTGGGAGCAGGAGGAAGAGGAGCTGAGATCAGGGAGCGGCTGTGGCCCAAAGGCCATCCAGCCACCCCTCTCTCACCGCTAGAACCTTCCATGGAGACTTCCCTAGCTGGCCCGGGTCTGCAGGGGTCACTCTCATCTCTCGTTTTCCTCACTTCTGGGTATCTTCCAACCCTAACCAAATTCTCCTTTATTCCCTCACTTAAAGCGCATGAAAAATGTTCACTGCTTTCCAGTTGTGTTAAAAATCATAACTCTCTTCGGAATGTAGCCAGCCATGTGTACAGACAAATACAACTTAACACAAACACACAAACGGGATCGTATCACGTGATCTGTTTAAATATAGGTATTTTCCTTTTCCTGTTTTGCTGTGCTCCCCTTCCGTAGATGGTATGCACCTTGAGCCACATTAATGTGTTATGCATAACACACACACACACACACACACACACGAGCACATACACCTCTACCCACCAAACGGGTTAATTGTGCCACTGTTCTATAGAAATGGGATCGCCAAGTACAGACTTTTCTACATCCTGCCATTCTCACTTGAAAATAGCTCATGAAAAATTCTCCAAGCGGGATGGCAAAATTCTAGCCCATTCCTTTTTTTTTTTTTTCCTAGCCCATTCTTTAAAGAGACAGCATACTATTCCATGGTGCGGGTCGGTGTGATTTATACAAGCATTCCCATACCGGTAAGCAATCAGTTTTGCCTTTTTTTTTTTTAACCATTTTAGTCAACATGCTTATACATGTATCCTTATTAATCGATGCCTTCATTTCCAACGGGTAGATTCCTAGGAGTGGGATACAGTGGGTCAAAGCGTGTTGTTTTGTTTTGTTTTTTTAAACTTCTCATTATGGAAAGATCCAAACACAGACAAACATGAAGACTAATCTAATCGGCACGCACAGCCCCCAGCGTCAACCTTTATGAATGCGCAGCCGAACTGGCTTCCTTACTGACAAGGATTCGCAAACATTTTCTGTAAAGGGCCAGTTAGTAGATGTTTTAGGCTTTGCAGGCTACATGGTTCTCCACTGCAAGTCCTCCATTCTGCAGAAGCTGGAGCACAAAAGGAGCCTCACACATACTAAACAAATATGTAACAGAATGAGCATGGCTGTGTTCCAATAAAACTTTATATACAAAACCAGGCGGAGGTCTGGATTTGGTCCATGCCTGTAAGCGTGCTGACCCTTGCTTTCTACCATCAGCCACTTGACCCCCTTGCTCCCTGGATTATCTGAAGTAAAATCCCAGGCATTACATCATTTTACTAATAAATAGTTCAGGATGAGCCTCTTAAGAAGAAGGAAAAAACGACTATTTACAAATTAACCATAACACCATTATCACACCTAAAATTTTAAGGACACTTCTCTAACATCATCAAATGGCTAGTTAATGAACACATTTCCCTCTTGTGTCAAAACAGAACTTTCTTGCCCTTGTTCTAATCAGGATCCCAACAAGGTCGCCATCTTGCTTTCTGAAACCGTTCATGTTTCCACTGACCATGTACAAAAGCATCCCCACCACCACCATTTTTGCTGGTCTTATGGGTATGGTGATGTTTCACTGTGACTTTATTTCGTATTTCCCAGACTGCTAGTGAGTTCTGAGTATTTCCCTACATGCTCTCATGGTTGACCAACTGCCTTATGTAGTTAAGTACGCTCACCTGCCTTGGATCGCTTCTCCTGCCCCTGGATTATGCTGGTAGATTCCTACATTGTCCTCTAAGTGCTTCATTGTTAGTTCTTTCACGTTTAAGTCTTTATCTGGAAAAAATACATACCTACGTACATGTTTATGTACACATTGTACAAAATAGGTTATTTCTAGGCTTTACCAGGATATATTCTTTCACATCTTGTTTATGTAACTTTGGGCTGTATTCCTGAAATCCGCTTTTCCATGTAATTTTTTTCTCTCCACAGACTCAACTCTTCGACAGCATTAAGCTCTGTTGCGGGTTGAGATGTGTCTCCCCAAAAAAGATGTGTTCGCATCCAAATCCTCCAGTACCTACCAATGTGATCTTATTTGGAAATAGGGTCTTCGCAGATGTAATTAGTTAAGATGAGGTCATGATGGATTAGGCTGGGTCCTAAATCCAGTATGACTGCTACCTTAGAAGAAGGCCACATAGGGGCGCCTGGGTGGCTCAGCCAGTTAAGCGGCTGCCTTCGGCTCAGGTCATGATCCCAGGGTCCTGGGATCGAGCCCCGCATCGGGCTCCCTGCTCGGGGGGGAGCCTGCTTCTCCCTCTGCCTGCCACTTCCCCTGCTTGTGCTCTCTCTCTCTCTGTCAAATAAATAAATAAAATATTTAAAAAAAAAAAAGGAAGAAGAAGGCCACATGAAGACAAAGGGACACACAGACACACGGGAAGAAGACAGACATGTGAAGACAGAGGCAGAGATTACAGTGAATCACCTATAAACCAAGGAATGCCAAGGATGGCCAATGACCATCAAAAGCTTAGGAAGAGGCAAAGAAGGATTCTTCCCTAGAGCCTTCAGAGGGAGGACAGGCCTGCCGACACCTTGATGTTGGACTTCTAGCCTCTAGAATGGGGAGAACAAACTTCTGTTGTTTTTTTTTTTTAAAGATTTTATTTATTTATTTGAGAGAGAGAGAGAGAGCACAAGAAGAGGGGAGCGGGAGAGGGAGAAGCAGACTCCCCGCTGAGCAGGGAGCCCGATGTGGGACTCGATCCCAGGACTCCAGGATCATGACCTGAGCCGAAGGCAGTCGCTTAACCAACTGAGCCACCCAGGCGCCCAAACTTCTATTCTTTCAAGCTACCCTGTTTGTGCTGATCTGTCACGGCAGCCTCCAGAGGCAAACACTGGGGCCTTTCCCATCAGAACTTTCCCATCAGGCCAGTCAAGAAGGAATCTCATATGCGAGATTCTGCAAGAAAGAAGGAAAAAGCTTATTCCCCTCAAATTTCCCAACACAGTGTTACTGGTGTCCCAGCACCAGCTTCCTCTTAATTAGTCCTTGCTTGGACCTCATTTCTCAGCGTCTGCTTCCAGGCCCATCCCAGGCCCCTCTCGTTTCCCCTTAACTCCCTCAGGTGGGTTAACATGGTTTAAGCTATGTTTCTCCCCTGGCTCCAGGACACTGACAGGATCCTGGCTGCAGATGGACCTCTGGCCAAAACCACCACATTTACTGGGCCCTAAAAGGCCGCCTGTGTTCCGTATGGAATTATAAGGGGCGTAAATATGTAAAATGACAACAATAGACCCAGACATGGTAAGGTGCTGAACTGGATGTGGTCAAGGTCTAGGGGATTGGGTAGAGGCAGTCAGTAGTATGGGCTGAGAGAAAGAGGAGAAACCCGTGTTAGCCAGACATATTAGAAACCACACCAGGGCCTCAAGGGGGGACTCCTGATGGCCAGGGTTTAGACACATTCCACAAATATTTCTTTTTTTTTTTTTAAGATTTTATTTATTTATTTGACAAAGAGATAGAGAGAGAGCACAAGTAGGCAGAGAGGCAGGCAGAGGGAGAAGCAGACTCCCCACTGAGCAGGGAGCCCGGCGCGGGGCTCGATCCCAGGACCCTGGGATCATGACCTGAGCCGAAGGCAGCCGCTTAACCGACTGAGCCACCCAGGCGCCCCTCCACAAATATTTCTTTACACTGACTGACGACCCCTTGCCCAAGCTTGTGGTCATTATGAGTCTTGCTTGCAAAAATAAGAAAACCCAACACCTTAAAGTTCCCTTCAACAACATAAAATAATATACCATGAGCTTGGAGCTCTAGGTCCTGTATGTGACTGTGTGTTGGCTGAAACCTGAAAAAGTTCTGTGCTCTAGACGTTGACTGGAGGGGGAAGCCCCTGGAAACTGCGATACTGCTCTGGGAAGACCTCTTAGAGGAAGAAGGTGGTGACCTTTCCCAGGTGCTGTAATTATCCCTGCAGTTTACCTACGTCTCTCATTTACGGCTCATTCAAACCCAGGGCCATCTATGATTCTTCCACAGGAAGACCAAGCAACTGGCCCAAGGTCATACTACTGGGTTCCGACCTTGGTCGGCTGAATCTTCGAGCCCAGCCCTGAACCTCCGTGACAGCTCTGGGCTGTGGAGGAACTGGCAGTCTAGGCGGCTGGGTCTAGGTCAGGGTCACAGAGGACAGGCCACCGGGCACAAGAAGGAAAGGCCTGGAGCAGGCAGGCTATGTGGCTGGAGGGCAGCATGGAGGCCCGGGAGGGATGGGGATGGAGCCAGAGAGGGAGGTGGCGCTGGGTGCGGAAGGCCAGTGGGCTTCTGAGCTCTGAGCGGGTGGGTAGGGCCAGCAGGGGTGTGAAGGCCAGAGCAGAAGAGGATGGAGCATGCAGGAAGAAGCTAGTGACAACAGAGAAATGAAGGAGTAAAGCCTCAGCCAAAATGAGAGAAATTATAATGCAAAGAGCCCAATAGAAGGTGGGCCCTAGAGTGAATTTCTTTTTTCTTTTTAAGATATTTACTTTTTTGAGAGAGAGAGAGAGGGCGAGCGGGGGTGGGGGGAGGAGCAGAGGGAGAGGGACACAGACTCTGTGCTGAGTGTGGAAGCCCAATGCAGGACTTGATCCCATGACCCTGAGATCATGACCTGAGCCCAAATCAAGAGT